AGACTTGATTATTTACTGACCGCCGTCATATGGCTGGAATATTGCTGAGTGCGGCGTTGAACAACAATCAAACAAGAGGACCCCACGAAATTATTAAGAGCCTTGGTATTCCTCGTGCTTCAGGCAAGGGCGACTCACACAGAATAAATACAGGCAACAAAGAGTTCTGGTGTATTTTTTAAATATTTTCCATACGACAAAGCTTCGCCAAAGTGTAAAAGCAGGGATGTGTTTTAAATAGGGGAATAACCTCGTAACCTCGGCTCCATTATTTTTAATGAATCGGGAACATGACTCACAAAATTGTTTCAATTTTTATTCGGGATAAAAACCACTGCCATGCCCCACTTCAACCATGCTCCCCGTCAGACTCTCCATTTAGAGACAACAGGCAGATGAATATGAGTCAGAGTGTCAGACACATGTAGGCCTTGATATATTGTTAATGTAATTCTTTTAATAATGACTGATAAAATTCGCTAAGTAACTGTGTAACTATTTCGGTGAGAGAGCAGTTATTTGGAGCATTTCCTTCATTGACATTCACCACACAGCAGGGGCGGTGTGATGATGTGACAGTGTCCAAGCAACAATCACCCCGATTCTCCATTTTATATCAACATTCTATCGCGAACAATTCGTCTGGAATCCAAAGATCCAGGTGGGGTAGCGTAGTGGTTAAAGGCCTTCGCTCGTCATGTCGAAGACCCGGGTTCGATTCCCCACATAGGTACAATGTGTGAAGCCCATTCTGGTGTCCCCCGTCGTGATTTTGCTGGAATATTGCTAAAAGCAGCGTAAAACCATACTCACTCACGCTTTGATTTAAACCATGTTGTGATTGAAACATAATTTCTCTGTTATTTTGTATAAAGACAAATAGTTGCGTCAGTTTCAAAATGCTCAATATCAGAATCAACTGCAAAAACAATGGAGTGACGTCATCATAATAGCTTAAGGATAGGGTTTTGTCGTTTTCATTAAGGGGCGGTCCGGTTGAAGCGTTCGCTCGTCACGCCGAAGACCCGGGTTCGATTCCCGACATGGGTACAATGTGTGAAGCCCATTCCTGGTGTCCCCCGCCGTGATATTGATGGAATATTGCTAAAAGCAGCGTAAAACCAAACTCACTCACTCACTTGTTTTCAATTACACTTGAGTCATCAAAAACCGATAAGCAATCATATTTCTCGTCGGTAGGTCTCGGAATGACAAGGGTAATCACAAATAGCATCACTGCAGCCCAGAGCTTGTATGCATTCCATCTGCGCACTCAATTTCACAGCAGCATGACGATGCCGCGGTAAAACAGATTATCTAGTAGGTAAATCCATTTCGTGCCCATTTGCTCTTATACAGACTCCCTACACAAACTTACCATGAGTGAGTGAGTTGGGTTTAACGCCGCTTTAAAAGGTATTCCAGTTATATCACGGCGTGTCAGCTTAATGTGGGAGGAAAGCACGAAGTGATGCAGGTCTCATTCGTTTACCACTTCGGTGAAACCCACGAGCACGGGTATGGTTCTGACAAACCTAGAAACATAATTGGGGCGAACCGGAATTCGAACCCACAATCATAGGTTTCTGGCGAGCCCAAGGGACGCAACTCTGCAACCCGTGCCCCCTCTAACAATGAGAACAATAATATCCCTGAGTAGCAAGTATTTGGGTAACTACGGTTATGGAATTATATACAGGAAAATTATCTGATATGCATTAAGAACATATCTCCAGCAACACAAATAATATTACAATATTATTGGTAAGTGATTGTTTGGGTTTTATATTGACACATTAAAGAAAATTGCTACATGAGGTTTTATGTTTGTTTGCATGTCGTTTAACTAAGATCTGACTTTAATGAGATTGTGCGGTAGGCGAATACCAGGTAGGACCTAGAGGTATACACTTAGCAGAAGGACATTCGGTAGACGAATACCACAACATACAATACACTCAACATTTCAATAAACATATAGCATAGATACAAACTAAGACTACAAGTAATTCGGTACTAGTGGCAGCGGTGTTAAGGCAGCTAGGCACGAGCGCCCCCTGGAGTGTTCAACATACATCCTGGTGCACATCATTGAACTGTACAAAACGCTCTGTGTAACAGTATACTTATGAAAGTAATGGTCGCTCGTGTCTAATCACTTGTGGCCATCTGTCACTGTTTGTGAGAATATATCAATTTTCATAGCTGTTCATGGGCTAAAGTCTCGTGTAGGAGTCTCTCTTAGACAGATGTGATCACGGAATCAAACACATTACATTGTAACTATGCTTCATTGTCTTCAGGTTGAAATGTACGTTGTTTTCCAGGTATATGACATCAATATTCTTTCCACTTATGTACAGAGTGTTGTTGTAGTAGACAAGGCTTCTAATCCTATCACTGAATTCCAACATTTCCGTGGTAGTATTAGTTGATAAAGATCGCTTCATCACCTTCTTGTTGTCGCTGAAATATAGGACATTGTGTATAGTGTCAATAGTAACAGCAAATACGTCACGTCTCACGTCTATCTGATGCAGCCTATTCCCATTATAATCCAAAGACCACAACCCATCATCATCTTTACAGAAATAGATCACCTTCTTCCTGGAGTCTACAGCAATGGCATGGGGAATGTCTGTTCCGTGATTACGCAAGTCCACAATGCCCCGAAAGTGTTTCCCAAATGTGGACATACGACTGATTGTCTTCGTCGGTGTGTATGTGGTAAGGAAGATGAGTCGTCTGTCAACATCGACTGCCATTCCCAGTGACCTGATTCCCTCCCGTAGTGTTGTGACACCCGACACGTCCAGCCTTGAGGAGAAGATGCCATCTGGTGAATATCTACTGAATATCAGTCTCCTGGACACAGGCTCGTATGTTACAGCGTGAACGCGTGATGTGTGGAGATAAGGATACGTCTTCATGTCGTTTTTATCTATGGTAATCTGATGTGGATGTTGGAAGGAGCCAGAGCCATGTTGTACAACCAATATTCTCGTCTTGTCTTGAAACTGTCGTGTTGTAGGTGTTGTGGCCACTGACGTGAAGGGACGTCCAGGTGGAGTCGTGGGTGTGTAATGTGGGATGGGTTGTGTACTGTCAGCATTGGTCTGAAGGTCACGTGTCTTGTTGACGTAATTCAGATGAAAGTCTCCCAATGTCTGCACATCTTCTGCATGACTGGCGTTAATCACAATCAAGTCATTTCTCAAACGTACGTTCTGTTCCACAAGGGTCTCAACTGATCGTTGTGTTTCATTAATCTGTGCTTGCATGTCAGTACTCTGTCGTATGACGAGTGACACGTGATCTTTTAGTAAACTCACTTCCTTTTCAACATGTGTCTCGTGATGACGTGTTCGGTTCCACTCTGTCTTTAGTTCACTCACCTGCCGTTCACATGCATCTTTGTCTTTCACAGTGTCCCCCAACTGTCTTGTGAGACTCAGTGTCTGTCGCTTCATCTGCTGATATCCACGCTTCAGATTTTTAATCTGGGACATCACGTGACTGTTTACCGTGGCATCAAACGACTCTATTTGACTACGCATATAGGAAGGTACAATCTTCTCTGTCAAATCCGATCTCAGCAGTAACTCCAAAATGTCCATCTTGTTTATGACTCTCGTCTCCATTCCTGGAACGTCAGATTTTAAGTGGTTCAATTCCACTTTCAGCTGGTTAATTTCTTTCTCAAGCAAACCCATCTGACTGACAACTGCTGCAATATTTTCGTGTCCCTGAACCACAGATGAGGCTGCTACAAGCAGCACCAACACACACAGACTCGCCATGTTAGCTGGCAATTGTATAACTGTGTCAGAGTAGTGTAACCCGGAGCGAAGTGTCACGTGACTATCGCATTACATCTGACATGGCAGCGGGTCAAACGGAAACACTTGAATCATACATGGCAACTGTGTCAGAGCACTGTTCACTTGAGTTTCCCGTCACGTGACTACACTTGTCATTACCATTAAGTCATTTTATCCATTTTATCAATTGGTGATGGGGGTACGGGATCCATCACTTCAATAACATATTCATCTCAATGTGTGACCTGACAAATTTAAAGTTGAACATTTCATAACTTTCAAGATTTTAACTTTGTTTACAAATACATATAATGCACGGATTATTAGTTAAATGATGCATAATATTACATAACTTCATTTGTTTAAAGTAATTCGTCATTTTGCATTATATCAGGAAATATATAACTTCTAACACATGAGTATGTGAGTTGTTTAATCGACAATGTCACCAAAGGACGGGTCAATTACGAAATACGTGGGTACGCTAACTTTTCATCTTCGCATAATTTCAGAGACATGTGTTGACAAAACTAGCCACTTACTGACAGGTTGCATGGAAAACAATTCTTTGAATGAAACCTTAGAATCAAACTATATTTTGTTTAAAAAAACAAACTCTTATGACACGCTTCTCTTTAATGGCGCTACACCCTTCATTGGAAGCTCACTAACACCGCTACCAATCAATCAATCAATCAATCAATCAATCAATCAATCACAATATTTCTTTAAAAAACGGGGGCACGGGTGGCCCAGTCGTCTATGGCACCGCCATTCGCTGTGCAGAATTGCGTCCCTTGGGCACGCCAGAAACCTATGATTGTAGGTTCGAATCTCGGTTCTCCAAGATTATGCTTCTAGGTTTGTCAGCACCATACCCGAGCTCGATTGTTTCACCGAAATGGTAAATGTCTGAGACCTGCATCACTTCGGACTTTTTTCTCCGACATTAGTGATGCAGGTCTCAGACATTTACCACTTCGGTGAAACCCAAGAGCATGAGAATGGTGCTGACAAACCTAGAAACATAATCGGGTCAAACCGGGATTCGAACCCACAATCATAGGTTTCTGCGAATCTTGACGCCTCAGACGAGCCAATGGATGTTACGTGACATAGCGCAAGCCCAATCGTGCTGTTTTCTTTCAATTTAGAATTAAGAGAATGACAATAGAGAAATACACATGAAACACACATCCAGATTGGCTTTATTCTGAGTCAATCATCATGACAGTTCAACTATTCTGTATGCGATCGTTTGGGCAGCGCCATCCAACATTCAGCACACACCACAGAACCTCGGGCAATCCACGGGGATGTTGCTGTAATCCTTACACCACTGCAGTGACGGCACATTTGGGCACCAGGCCTTCTCGGCTCCACATGCCTCTGATGTGAAACAAAGTGGTGAAAATTATTTCAGCAATTATGAAAATAATAATGACGATGATCGTACCACCACCACCACCACCACCACCACCACCACGACTGTTACTACTACTGCTACTACTACTACTACTACTACTACTACTACTACTACTACTTCTACTACTACTACTGCTGCTGCTACTACTTCAGCTATACTTCTACTACGACAGTTGCTACTACTACTACTACAGCTGCTAATTAAACTACTCTACTACTACAGCTACAACTACCACTACTACTACTACTACTACTACTACTACTACTACTACTACTACCACTACTACTACTACTACTACTACTCTACTACTACTACTAAATATCCGAGCAACATTAAATGAATTATAAAGTAAGAAGTATTGATGTCACCATACGTGTTATCATTATTGGTATTAACTATGACTAGACACAGCACCACTGATAAGGATAAGTAAACTCGTCCTCGGGTACAATACATGTTCATGTACATTGCCGTTTTGAGACAAATGGACGCGTGTCGAACTGATAACAAACGAGCCGTGACCAGGTAGAATAGGTCTTCAGCAACCCAAGCTTGACGTAAAAGGCGACTACGGGATCGGGTGATCGGACTTCGTTGATGCATGTCACCGATCCCAATTGCGTGGATCGATGCTCATGATGTGAATCACTGGATAGTCTGGTCCGGACTCGATTATTTACAGACCACCGTCATAAAGCTTGAATATTGCTGAGTGCGGCGTTAAACAACAAACAAACAAACATACGAGCCGTTGCCATTACGCGCATGGTGATAGGGAAACTAATACGTTTGCATACAAATTACAGAAATGTGGTTTAGAAAAACCCTTCTGGATTCTGGTAGTTTTTTTTATAACACTGTTAACTTGAATTATTCTGATATAAATGCATATCCGTACTTTCAGTGCACGTGTTTCCTGTCCAGATGCCGGTGCACGTGCACGAGCAGGTGCTGGTGTCCAAGGAGCCGCCATTCAGACACAGCTTGTCTCCGCAATCTGAAAATTGACTTGATTGTATTTATTTATTTACATTTCAGATACATGGTAGATTATCTTTACTGTGGCAACCTAGCCACTTGTATTTTATCAATGAAATTAAATTATGTTTTAAAATATTTATTTTTTTATAAATATGAATTTTAAATAATTAATCCCTGAAATTACGAATTGCAGTAAGAATTGGTGATGTTGCTGAGTAGGTTTACAGTGCTCTAAGATGTGATGAGGGTGATGAGGGTTAAAGCCTAGTGGTTAAAGCGTTCGCTCGTCACGCCGAAGACTCGGTTCGATTCCCGACATGGGTACAATGTGTGAAGCCATTTCTGGTGTCCCCCGCCGTGATATTGCTGGAATACTGCTAAACGCGGCATAAAACCATATTCACACAATCACTAGTGATTACTGGCGGAACTACGGTAAAGTTCAAAGGGCCCTGAGTATTGACACTGTACCTCTCGCTCATCCCAAAGAATGAGGGTGTACCGTAGTTCAGGTGGAGGAACGCCAAGGTAACATTGTTAAACCACCTTGGACATTTGGCCAAAGAAATTAGAACAATATCAAGTACATTTCTGTACTTCAAGTATATGTCACTTGAGATTCTTTGATGTAATCACCAGTGACCAACACTGTATATATTTCTACGACTATATGCTCTATATACAGTCGTTGTTGAAATTGTAATTTTTGATTTGTCCTAAGCCATGTTTCTCCTGTCTCCTGCCATTTGTACAAAAGCGTGTATCGTCCCTGTGTGTTGTGGTAACGGTGGAGAGAAAACAGACACTCACCGCAGAGATTGTTGGAGCACTTGTCCGCGGGACATTTACTGCACGAAGTTCCCTTCTCATATGGAGTCTTGACGTCTGGCGTCTGTTGACTGCAACAAAGACATCATGTTACACTTGTGTGATATCATTGTTGCATCCGCTTCGCCCCGAGTATGTTTCTAGGTTTTTCAGCACCATACTCATGCTCGTGGGTTTCACCGAAGTGGTAAACGCCTCAGGCCTGCATCACTTCGGGCTTTCCTCCCACATTACGCTGACACGCCGTGATGTAACTGGAATACTGTTAGAAGCGGTGTTAAACCCAACTCACTCACTCACTCATCGTTGCATCTTTCACGGTTTATACTACAGCTACTGCTTCTGACACTGCTGCTACTACTGTTACGACTGCTACAACAACTACTACTACTACTTCCACTACTACTACTTCCACTACTACCACTACTACTACTACTACTACTACTACTACTACTACTACTACTACTACCACCAAAACTGCTACTACTACTACTACTACTACTTCCACCACCACTACTACTACTACTACTTCTACCACCAAAACTGCTACTACTACTACTACTGCTACCACTCCCTCTGCTACCAAAACTACTACTACTTCTACTACTATTACTACTCCATCAGCTTCAACTTCTACTACCATTACTACTACTACTACTTATATTACTACTACTGTTGCTCCCAAATGCGTGGATCGATGCTCATGATGTCAATCACTGGATTGTCTGGTCCAGACTCGATTATTTACAGACCACCGTCCTACAGCTGGAATATAGTCTAGTGCGGCGTAAAACAACAAACAAACAAACAAAACCTATAGTTCTACTGCTACTACTTCTCCTACTACTGCTACTACTTCTCCTACTACTTCCACGCCCTACGTTATCAGCATCACACCTGTGCGCGTGAACTTCACCATTAAACAGCAGAGATTAACAGGACGTCGGGCTTCCCTCCAGCATGTTTGTTTGTTGTTTAACGCCGTACAAAGAAATATTCCAGCTATATGACGGCGGTCTGTAAATAATCGAGTCTGGACCAGCCAATCCAGTGATTGACTTTTATGCAAGCCCCATTCATTTCACTATACAAGAATGGGTATAAAAAGCATGTGCGTTAACGGGAATCCATATCAATTGTTCAGCATCGTGCTGACAACAACCACTCAGAAAATCACCAAAATTACGCAATTATTCAACATTACGAAATGCCACGCCTGTCCGAAAATGAGCGTCAGCGAGCCATTGGTATGCCTGAAGCAGGATCGAGTCAACGTGATGTTGCAAGACCATTTGGTGTTTATGGCAACGTTGGCAACAGACGAATGCAGTCAGAGACCATCCTCGGAGCGGCAGGCCACGCGTAACCTATAATTGACAAGACAACTGTTACAGGAAACCATCGTCAAGCACGTCTACAGTGTTGCAGACAGCGTCTACGCTGGACGGCCATGCAGTGGGGACAAGTTCTATTCACTGACGAGTCTCGTTTTCACCTCAGCCACAGCGATGGACGGATTCAAATGTACCGACGTCGAGGTGAACGTTACGTCAATCATTGTGTCATGGAAGAAGATCGGTTCGGGGGCGGCAGCGTATGGTATGGGGTGTGATTACAGCAAGACAGAGGACCCGTTTGATAGTGGTAGAGGGAAATCTTAATGGACAGCGCTACCGCACGAGATCATCGGCCCTGTTGTTGTACCATTTTTGCGTCGTCATGGCCCAGGCATTACCTTTCAACATGACAACGCCCGGCCTCATATTGCTCGACTTGTTCAGAAGTCTCTTCAACAAAACAACGTGAATGTCATCATCCCCTGGCATCCCCTGGCATCCCCTGGCCGCCTTGCACCCCTCATCTCTCACCAATCGAGCACATGTGGGATGAGATGGATCGGCGCCTTCGACGTCAACCACGTCAACTTCGAAACATGCTCCAGCAGATATGGACAGATATCCAACATGTCTTTGTGCGACGCCTGGTGCATTCCATGAGACGAAGATGTGTTGCTTGCATCGCAACCAGAGGTAGACACACACGCTATTGATTTGTAAATTGACATTTTTTATGAAATCACGCATTTTCTGAAGTCAGTATGGCAAATTAACCATTTGAACACTTACAGGAGTCTTTTATCTGTTGCAAACCGGAATTGTTTAAGATTTGGTAAAAAACATAACTTTGCATTAAATCTTATTCAATGTCACAGGAACTTTTGTTGTTCAGTATATAACTTAAACCCTGCCCCCATTTGGTGCTCACCGACTACGCGACTGGTATAATATAATTTTATTAAAGATTACTCACCCGATCGCGTAGTTGCACACTTGATAACGACTATATTTCGCTCCTGTACACGTGGCTTCCCCGCAGCCGATGCGGATGGCTCTGAACCCCACAACCTAAACAGAAAAAAGAAAACAAGGCCATCGTATACATTTTACAATATTGACACCATTTATTGATTTAATCTTGTTTAATGCCGCAACCATCAATATTCCAGCTATATCACGCGGGTGATTAAATAATTACGGTTGATATAAGCAACCTCTCGCGCAATCTGGCAATGATGACACGTGTTGCATTCGATGTTTCTTTTGTTCGCAAACTTTGCTTTCATGATAATTATCCTTATGCCTATTTACCGTAGTTTACAAAATTAATACCCCAACGCTCAAACTGTTTAGCTGACAATTGTTTCCCACCGTTTGGTATTTATCAATAAATCATAATCTTATTACCTGGGTGTAATGGCCTACAACCGCGCCAACTGTTTTGTTTCCGACGCCGTGTTCAAAGTCGTCAACCTCCTCATGCCAGCCTTCTAACGCCTTCATGATGCTGTCGTAGCCACCACCTACATTCTGTCCTATGTCCACTCCGGGCATAGCTAGAATAAGCAGTGAGTGAGTGAGTGAGTGAGTGAGTGAGTGAGTGAGTGAGTGAGTGAGTGAGTGAGTGAGTGAGTGAGTGAGTGAGTGAGTGAGTGAGTGAGTGAGTGAGTGAGTGAGTGAGTGAGTGAGTGAGTGAGTGAGTGAGTGAGTGAGTGAGTGAGTGAGTGAGTGAGTGAGTGAGTGAGTGAGTGAGTGAGTGAGTGAGTGAGTGAGTGAGTGAGTGAGTGAGTGAGTGAGTGAGTGAGTGAGTGAGTGAGTGAGTGAGTGAGTGAGTGAGTGAGTGAGTGAGTGAGTGAGTGAGTGAGTGAGTGAGTGAGTGAGTGAGTGAGTGAGTGAGTGAGTGAGTGAGTGAGTGAGTGAGTGAGTGAGTGAGTGAGTGAGTGAGTGAGTGAGTGAGTGAGTGAGTGAGTGAGTGAGTGAGTGAGTGAGTGAGTGAGTGAGTGAGTGAGTGAGTGAGTGAGTGAGTGAGTGAGTGAGTGAGTGAGTGAGTGAGTGAGTGAGTGAGTGAGTGAGTGAGTGAGTGAGTGAGTGAGTGAGTGAGTGAGTGAGTGAGTGAGTGAGTGAGTGAGTGAGTGAGTGAGTGAAACATTATTTCAGTCACCACCACATGTCGCAATCAGGGCTATAACCCATGATCAAAGGTTTTTGCTAGGTATGGGGGGGCGCAAATCTGCACAGCGAATTCAGGTGCCTCGGGCGACTGAGCAGCCACAGCTACAGGCTGACAGAGGTACATAAACAAGTGGTCAATAGCATAAGCATATGTCCCTTCTCTCAGGGTAAGATGTCACACTAGGACAGCCGGATATCCCGCTGTTTGTAAAGAAAGTACTACCATTACTAGCGTTCTTGGGTAAACCGACTAAAGCCCGATTCTGTTCTTTGGCATAATTTTGCCTGCATATTGAGAAAATAAACGACGTAAAACAACACTCATTTCACACATGTTGATAACTTTATAGGTTAAGTAGTTTCATTAAGTGTGTGAGTGAGTGATATGAGTTTAGCGCTGCCTACAGCAGTATTTCCTGTGGCAGTTTAATGTGAGAGAAACGCCCGAAGTTACACAGGCCGTTTAGTTCAACCCTCCATGGCACGTTGCTGACTGACCAAGGGTCAATAACTGTCCGACATACCCATGGATGTCCTCAGGGAGCATAGGCTGCAGACACGTGTTAAAAACTTACTTGAAAGTGATCTTGCGGCATATGCGTCATGGCCCCCATAGCACTGGCGAGCCCACTTGGCTGCATATGTTGCAATGTTGTCATCCCACGTCTGTATCACAGGTAGAGGAGGGAATACATACTATGTACATTATGTTAGTGATGGAATTCTAAAAATGAAAATCGATAGTTCTATTGAGTAGAAACTATTGTCTCTTAACTAAATTTATTTGGAGCGAAATATGTCGGAACTACTTATAGTTCTCTTGTCTTGTCAAATAGCATGTTCACATCATCTCGTTAACATGTCAAGTATGTCTCTCGACTCTTTAAGAACTTTCACATTTACATTTTTCTTAGGCTCCATTCGTTATTTTGTGGCTTGATATAACAAATCGCTAACTTTAATAAAAGATACCTTACAAGAGTGTCCACTAGGCTATATCAAAGCCTAGTTTCACCATCTTCCTGGGACAAGGGTGTCCATTAGCCTACATCAAAGCCTAGTTTCACCATCTTCCCGGGGCAAGGGTGTCCACTAGCCTATATCAATGTCTAGTTTCACCATCTTCCCGGGGCAAGGGTGTCCACTAGGCTATATCAAAGCCTAGTTTCACCATCTTCCTGGGACAAGGGTGTCCATTAGCCTACATCAAAGCCTAGTTTCACCATCTTCCCGAGGCAAGGGTGTCCATTAGCCTACATCAAAGCTTAGTTTCACCATCTTCCCGAGGCAAGGGTGTCCACTTGCCTATATCAAAGCCTAGCTTCACCATCTTCCCGGGGCAAGAGTGTCCACTAGCCTTCATCAAAACCTAGCTTCACAATCTTCCCGAGGCAAGGGGGTCCACTAGCCTATATCAAAGCCAAGTTTCACCATCTTGGCGAGGCGAGTGTGTCCATTCGCTTACAACAGAGCCAAGATTCACCATCTTCCCGAGGCAAGGGCGTCCACTAGCTTATATCAACGCCTAGTGTCACCATCTTCCCGAGGCGAGAGTGTCCACTAGCCTATACTAAAGCCTAGCTTCACCATCTTCCCGAGGCGAGAGTGTCCACTAGCCTATACTAAAGCCTAGCTTCACCATCTTCCCGAGGCGAGAGTGTCCACTAGCCTATACTAAAGCCTAGCTTCACCATCTTCCCGAGGCGAGAGTGTCCACTAGCCTATACTAAAGCCTAGCTTCACCATCTTCCCGAGGCGAGAGTGTCCACTAGCCTATACTAAAGCCTAGCTTCACCATCTTCCCGAGGCGAGAGTGTCCACTAGCCTATACTAAAGCCTAGCTTCACCATCTTCCCGAGGCGAGAGTGTCCACTAGCCTATATCAAAGCCTAGCCTCACCATCTTCCAGGGGCAAGAGTGTCTACTAGCCTATTTCAAAGCCTAGTTTCACCATCTTCCCGAGGCGAGAGTGTCCATTCGCCTACATCAAAGCCTAGCTTCACCATCTTCCCGAGGCGAGAGTGTCCACTAGCCTATACTAAAGCCTAGCTTCACCATCTTCCCGAGGCGAGAGTGTCCACTAGCCTATATCAAAGCCTAGCTTCACCATCTTCCAGGGGCAAGAGTGTCTACTAGCCTATTTCAAAGCCTAGTTTCACCATCTTCCCGAGGCGAGAGTGTCCTTTCGCCTACATCAAAGCCTACTTTTACCATCTTCCCGAGGCGAGAGTGTCCATTCGCCTACATCAAAGCCTAGTTTCACCATCTTCCCGAGGCGAGAGTGTCCATTAGCCTACATCAAAACCAAGTTTCACCATCTTCCCGAGGCGAGGGTGTCCACTAGCCTACATCAAAGCCTAGTTTTACCATCTTCCCGAGGCGAGAGTGTCCATTCGCCTACATCAAAGCCTAGTTTCACCATCTTCCCGAGGCGAGAGTTTCCATTAGCCTACATCAAAACCAAGTTTCACCATCTTCCCGAGGCGAGGGTGTCCACTAGCCTATATCAAAGCCTAGCTTCACCATCTTCCAGGGGCAAGAGTGTCTACTACCCTATTTCAAAGCCTAGTTTCACCATCTTCCCGAGGCGAGAGTGTCCATTCGCCTACATCAAAGCCTAGCTTCACCATCTTCCCGATGCGAGAGTGTCTACTAGCCTATGTCAAAGCCTAGCTTCACCATCTTCCAGGGGCAAGAGTGTCTACTAGCCCATATCAAAGCCTAGTTTCACCATCTTCCAGAGGCGAGAGTGTCTACTAGCCTATATCAAAGCCTAGTTTCACCATCTTCCAGGGGCAAGAGTGTCTACTAGCCCATATCAAAGCCTAGTTTCACCATCTTCCAGAGGCAAGAGTGTCTACTAGCCCATATCAAAGCCTAGTTTTACCATCTTCCAGAGGCGAGAGTGTCTACTAGCCTATGTCAAAGCCTAGCTTCACCATCTTCCAGGGGCAAGAGTGTCTACTAGCCCATATCAAAGCCTAGTTTCACCATCTTCCAGGGGCCAGAGTGTCCACTAGCCTATATCAAAGCCAAGTTTCACCTTCTTCCCGGGGCAAGGGTGTCCACTAGCCTATATCAAAGCCTAGCTTCACCATCTTCCAGGGGCAAGAGTGTCTACTAGCCTATTTCAAAGCCTAGTTTCACCATCTTCCCGAGGCGAGAGTGTCCATTCGCCTACATCAAAGCCTACTTTTACCATCTTCCCGAGGCGAGAGTGTCCATTCGCCTACATCAAAGCCTAGTTTCACCATCTTCCCGAGGCGAGAGTGTCCATTAGCCTACATCAAAACCAAGTTTCACCATCTTCCCGAGGCGAGGGTGTCCACTAGCCTACATCAAAGCCTAGTTTTACCATCTTCCCGAGGCGAGAGTGTCCATTCGCCTACATCAAAGCCTAGTTTCACCATCTTCCCGAGGCGAGAGTTTCCATTAGCCTACATCAAAACCAAGTTTCACCATCTTCCCGAGGCGAGGGTGTCCACTAGCCTATATCAAAGCCTAGCTTCACCATCTTCCAGGGGCAAGAGTGTCTACTACCCTATTTCAAAGCCTAGTTTCACCATCTTCCCGAGGCGAGAGTGTCCATTCGCCTACATCAAAGCCTAGCTTCACCATCTTCCCGATGCGAGAGTGTCTACTAGCCTATGTCAAAGCCTAGCTTCACCATCTTCCAGGGGCAAGAGTGTCTACTAGCCCATATCAAAGCCTAGTTTCACCATCTTCCAGAGGCGAGAGTGTCTACTAGCCTATATCAAAGCCTAGTTTCACCATCTTCCAGGGGCAAGAGTGTCTACTAGCCCATATCAAAGCCTAGTTTCACCATCTTCCAGAGGCAAGAGTGTCTACTAGCCCATATCAAAGCCTAGTTTTACCATCTTCCAGAGGCGAGAGTGTCTACTAGCCCATATCAAAGCCTAGTTTCACCATCTTCCAGAGGCAAGAGTGTCTACTAGCCCATATCAAAGCCTAGTTTTACCATCTTCCAGAGGCCAGAGTGTCCACTAGCCTATATCAAAGCCAAGTTTCACCTTCTTCCCGGGGCAAGGGTGTCCACTAGCCTATATCAAAGCCTAGCTTCACCATCTTCCAGGGGCAAGAGTGTCTACTAGCCTATATCAAAGCCTAGTTTCACCATCTTCCCGATGCGAGAGTGTCTACTAGCCTATGTCAAAGCCTAGCTTCACCATCTTCCAGGGGCAAAAGTGTCTACTAGCCCATATCAAAGCCTAGTTTCACCATCTTCCAGGGGCCAGAGTGTCTACTAGCCTATGTCAAAGCCAAATTTCACCATCTTCCCGAGGCGAGAGTGTCCACTAGCCTATATCAAAGCCAAGTTTCACCATCTTCCCCGGGCAAGGGTGTCTACTAGCCTGTATCAAAGCCTAGTTTCACCATCTTCCCGGGGCAAGGGTGTCCACTAGACTACATCAAAGCCTAGCTGCACCATCTTCCCTATGCAAGGGTGTCAACTAACCTACTTCAAAGCCTAGTTTTACCATCTTCAGCCTAGCCTATATTTAAAGCCTAGTGTCACTATCTTCCTTGGGCAAGAATGTCTATTAGCCTATATCAAAGCCTAGCGGCACCATCTTCCCGAGGCAAGGGTGTCAACTAGCCTACTTCAACGTAATGCTATATCTGGCAGCCTGATGACCTTGCATGACCTTACAAAGAGTGTTCTAACTACTTACCAATTTGACCATATTGGTGGCAGTCGGTGACACATTACTTCTGTACGTGTTGTGCTTGTCCACGATGGCTTGTTTGTCCGCGGCTGACAGTGGGGCATCCGTCCCTATGTCCACCAGACACAGAGTGTAGTAAGCGTGAATGGCGAGGTAGGTAGAGTCGCAGTCCTGTTCGGGGCAGAGGTTGGGGTTAATGGCGGAATCTGCTGCAGGCTCGACTGAGCTTTTCAAATCTAGGCCTCATAAGAACCATGTGAAAACTGATGTGTTGACTTTTGTAATTTAGACATCATCGTATGCATCGCCTTTACCCTGTAAAGTTGCGTCCCTTGCTTTTGACAGGATCCGCTGATTGTATATTTACAAACCTATTCATCCAATATTAATTTACCTTGTCAGCATTATATCCATGCTAGTGGGTTTCACCGAAATTGAGCTATGACTGAAATATTGTTCAACGTGGAGTATACACGACACATTAACTCTCTCCATTCCTCCCTCATTCACTCCCTCACTCACACACATTTTCCGCCACTTACCGACTTCACCACGAAGGTATGATCTGAGGACCCTGCATAAAAAATATAATTTTTATGTAGTTTTCGTTATATATGTAAACTTGGTATCAATAAATCCTCAAGGAGAGGGTACATTATACAGCGAATTCAGTCCGGAAAACTCGCCATTAGGGCGAAACTGTTAGCGGACTCGCGACTAATCATTTGCCGAAACGATCAATGTACAACATATTTTTTCCAGTATTTTCTGTTGTCATAAATATTAAATATCGCTTCCTTATTGCTAGTAGTATACTGATACGGCGCGTGAAAGTATTTATCTGAATGCGTAAGAAACAAGAAATTTGAAATATAAATTATATTCAGCTCCGAAACGACGTAAGCTCCGAAACAAGGATATTGTGGGTATTAGACAGATGATATGTGTTTACATATACGATTACTAAATTAACATTAACTATGAAAATTTTCAATGCCCTCAGCGCAAATGAATAATCAGAAACAACGCACCACGTGACTAATCTTGACAGACTGATAATTTTTACATAAACGCTACTTATTACTTGTAAGATAAGAGACAAATACCCGTGAGGATAACATTTTGGATTATTATTACATCGCTCGGTGAATACCAAAAATAGACAGAAAAAATATATCTATCCTTCTTTCGCTCGAACTCGGCTATCTCGAAGTATCGTAAATACGATTTATCGTTATAGCCCCGGTAGAATCAGGATCAGCAGTGTGGTCAAATACCAGCACTCCGCTTTTATCGAACTTCATATTGCTAAACATAGATATGAAAGGGCCCGCTTCTTAACGAGGTCTCACTGTATACTATAAAGCGTAAATGACAGAGAACAACCAGCCTTGATTATCCGCCGTAACAGATTCCATGGGGGCTTTTCACAAGGAGAACTGCGGCAATTAAGATGGTGATGGGTGAGTCAAGCCACGTCTAACTACGAGGGAGTAAATGTACCACTCACCTTCTCCCTCTACCATCACCGACCCAAGCAACACCACCAGCAGCAGCAAAGTGAACTTCATCATTGTCCTCCTCGGCTTCGTCAACGTTGTGACAACACCACATTCTTCTGTCCTTATATTGCCCGCTGGTGTAGATGTGGCAGGTGATAAAAAAACATGCATATTGCTTTCGTAAGTGCTTTAATGTGATCCGGCAGATAAATATATAGATTATATAAGCACTCACTATTTTCTCGATTGTTATGTCACTGATTGTCATCTTGCGAGATGACAGTGCCTTTTAACATTATCAATTTTATCAATATTATCAAAATTATCAAATACAAACTGAAAGGCAGTCAAATGCTATCATGATGTACCGTTACCTCGAGTCCGGTAAACTGAGGGCCATATTGAGATGTGAAATGTGGTACAATGCGGTCGAATTTGATACGGGAAGAACCCAATTTCGTTTAAAATGGTTTAGTACTTTCACTTTAAGATGGAAGTCCGATTGAAACTCGAGAACAGGTGGGAACTTCCTATGTGAAACAGACACAATAATGAAAAGTGTGATTGTTTTGTTTCCATGTTCAATATTCCTTTTAATTGGAACAACCACGAGTTTTGTGTATATAAGTATGTTATTAAGTGTCATTAAGTATATGTTTCAATAAACAAGCTTGTGTATTGATAAAATGTTCTTTTCAATGACGTACAGATACATAATATGTTAACACGATATACATTCAAAACAAAAGTGGCATTTAAAGCCGTACGCTATTGGGTTAGTGAGTGAGTGACAGTCACCATTATTTCAGCACTATCATAGCGGGGTACACCACGAATACCTCTACACTCTGTGCATTTATTTATACTCATGGGGAGTCGAACCCACATTTTGGCCGTGAGCAGCGAACGCTTCAACCATTAAGCTACCTTACTCCTTATCCTTGCCCTGAGAATTCGTGTGATAGATTGATGTTAAGGATACACTGAAGTGTGGAATACTGTGAGGGACATTCTCGCGATCTCGCATTCTCGCGATCTGGATCTGAAACGAGCTACATATGCCTAAAACAAGAGAATGCGAGATCGCGAGAATGTCCCTTACAGTATTCCATACTGAAGGGTCATCTAACCGGAAGTTCATCTGAGGTGGGTGATGTTTTCAATTCCTTACATGATGCTATCGCGTTCAACAGTATGACGCATGGTGCGGTGCCGTCTTCCTCAGCTTCAAACCGCATCCGTGGTCTAGTGGATAGAGTGTTTGCCTGGTGAGCGGAAGGACCGGAGTTCTTTCCCCTAACAGAGTCAAACATAGAAACGTTTACAGATTGTACTTTCTCACACTTGTCACTAAGGGGCTGAAACAAGGACTGGTGGGCTCGGAGTCAGTACACTGTGTCTGAGTGGGTAGTGGTATGATATCTCAGTGGCCTAGCCCTATAAAACAGGCAATGTCCGGACTAGTATAAGCAGCCACACACATAATAATCTTGAACGCGATGTTAAACCCCATTTCTCCTCACCTCACTACAAATAGACCCGTAATAATTTCACCGCATGTCTGATCCATGTAGATGCTAAAATACATAATTTGATACAATAAATTATTTTACTGATATCTAAAAATCGATAATGCGATATCAATAAATATGACATGATATCATAAATCAAATTGTGATGAAAATTCATTCTTTTGAATCAATAAATGATTTACTGACATACTAAAATAAGAAAAACATACTAGTTAAAAACGGCGCCTTATATACTGTAACAGTTGCTTTTGGTTGTATACGCGATTGCATCACAGTGACAGTGTTAATTGCTGGTCTGTTCCAGCACCAATATCCTTTTCATCCTATGAAAAACTGTTTAAAAATGCTAACTTATAAATAACTATTAACACACGATTATAATTACCTGTAACCAAGGAGGGGCGGTCGGGTAGCCTAGTGGTTAAAGCGTTCGCTCGACACGCTGAAGACCAGGGTTCGATTCCCGACATGGGTACAATGTGTGAAGCCTATTTCTGGTGTCCCCCGCCGTGATATTGCTGGAATATTGCTAAAAGCTGCGTAAAACCATATTCACTCACTCACTGTAACCAATTAGTGAGTCAGTTGGGTTTAACGCCGCTTTTAACATTATTCCAGTTATATCACGGCGTGTCGGCTAAATGTGGGAGGAAAGCCCGAAGTGATGCAGGTCTAAGACGTTTACCACTTCGGTGAAACCCACGAGCACGGGTATGGTGCTGACAAACCTAGAACAATAATTGGGGCGAACCGGGATACGAACCCACAATCATAGGTTTCTGGCGTGCCCAAGGGACGCAACTCAGCGAATCGCGGCGCCTTAGACGACTGGGCCACCCGTGTCCCCTGTAACCAAGGAAATAATACCAACCCGACCAGCGTTTATTTATCTATCGATCGTTATCACAGTTAAAATCTGTCTAAGTGTATATACTTATACTAAAACATCGTACTTATTACGGAATGTCACATCATCTTAAAGCATTTACATGTTAATCGCTTGAAAATTAGAAAATCAAGTTGTCTGTTGGCGTGGTTGAGTGAGGTTACATGTAAAAGCGGAATGGTTAAACGAAATAGGATTTGAAACGGATCCAATATACTTTCAACTATCGTGATATAAAATTCCCATCTGTCCGGCATAGCACTAACATCTATAGCATGTTACCATATCTAAGTAAATACCACTTTAAACTGTCACTGTTCGTCGTATTTAAAGCAGACACCTTGGTTAAAGTGAATCTACTTTCCCAATTCCCTCAACATTGCCTCATAGTGTTCGGTCCGCCTTGGCCCGGGCAGTCAAAATCAAGTTAAACCTCACATGTGTATCATCAAATGTGTTTACATCTATAGGATGGGATTATGTCTACCTAAATACAACTTTTTAGTGTGACAGTACACCGCGTTTAAGAAAACTGGTCTGTTATAGTCAAGCCATTTTACTTCATTTTCTTACGAAAATCTGTCACATGTGTTTGCTCCGTCTTGGCCCGGGCCGTCCAAAAACATGTAAAACCTCACAGATGTATCATCAAATATAAAGACTAGTATTATATTTACCTAAGTACCACTTGATAGTGTCACAGATCTTGCTATTTAAAGCAAGCACGTTGTCCGGGCGTGATAATGTGCCCTCGTCGAGCAATATGATGCCGTATTATGCCAAACAGTGCGATTGACCAATCAGAGAGTAGAACTACTAACCCTATATGAGCCCGTATATCGTCAGTTAAAATCCAGGATGGTTGTTACTGACCTAATATGAGACCTATACCGTCAGCAACAGCCATTTTGGATTTTCCAACACCCACCTCACATATTTCACATGACAATTCTGGTACAGAAATTCGCCATTCGACACTGTTTTGTGTTTTAATATAATTAATTGTGATGTGCAAAGTCATTAATTTTCAAAGAAGCCACGTTCGTGACTTTATAAATAAAAAATATAGAGAAAAATAGCTTACAACGGAGGTCACTGATTTACAAATAGCAACGTCATAGAACATAATTTAGGATGACGTCACATACAAGAAACAAAACGCCAATGACGTCACATAGTAATAGAATAGACAGCAGCTCGTCCTTAGGGGAAGGTGGACTGCTTACAAGTTTCAGTTGCCCGCTGATTTCAGATAACATGCGATTCCGGGGTAGAATAGGTCTTCAGCAACCCATGCTTACCGTAAAAGGCGACTATGGTCTTCGAAAGAGGCGACTAACGGGTCGGGTGGTCAGGCTCGTTGACTTGGTTGATGCATGTCATCGTATCCCAATTGCGTGGATCGATGCTCATTTTGTCAATCACTGGATTGACTGGTCCATACCCGATTATTTACAGACCGCCGTCATATAGCTTGAATATTGCTGAGTGCGGCGTTAAACAACAAACCAACCAACCAAATCAGATAACATGCTGGCATTTTTTATGCAAATACTATCCATTTTACCTATAATACTTGTTTAAACGTTCACATTTAGTGTATTATAAATTCCATTGTTAACGTTTATGTTTACATTAAAGAGTTGTATCGGAAAGATACGTACTAGTCCCGTCGTTTATACCGGTTGTAAGTGTCAAGTTTTCATGTGCGATAAAGACACCAAATAATGTAAACTTTTCGGTATAATAAATTCGTTATTGTGTCTTTAGTAGCCGTATAACCCCGCCCAATATGTTTCTGCTAGCGCTATATGACACCGTATACGGCAACTGAAGACACCATAACTAATATTATTTAATTACAGTGGCCCGTTAATTTCTGATAACCTTGGGAGATTTAATGACAATTCTATCCCTTGTAGCCATAAAGATATTTGGCCCAAAATAAGGTTGAAGTGTTATCAAATTATTAATTCATAATTCAGGTGAGCTACAGAGCCTTGTGACTCCATGTTTGTAAAAGGTATTTATTTTGTGTACTATTTTAAGTAATAAGCACAATCACATGAACGAATTTGCGGCGATCGTAGACGCATACCTTATCCACAGTGGTAGCACGAAAGTCAACATTAAATGGAGAACTTTACCTGGTCTACTGTTTAGCAATCGTGATTTTTCGATTATATGTGCACAGCGGGTACACGTCTTAAAAGACCAAAATATTACGGAGAAGGATTATTTTGGGAAAAAAATCCAAAGGACTATCCAGAAACGTAAAATTTATGGATGTAGGATCTGTAGGTTTCCAATCAATATTGATGTTTCAGAGAGGCCTTTATCAAAGCGGAACAGTTAGTAGATGGTGTTATATAGACAGTGATATAATCATGGCTTTTGATGTTGGAAATTATGGGATGATATGCAATTGTAATATGTTGGAGGATATGGACTTGTATTGTAGTATTTTAGCTTTCATTGGGTGATAATACAGAACGACTTGCTGTGTACATTTTGTGTTTGTTTTCATTTGTTGCATTCTTTGTTCCAAGGGTAGAAGTTGCATATTAATGGAAGACAGATGAGCAGTGATGACACCAAGTGTTCGTAAAAAATAAGTCACATACATCTGTTACATGCGGGGCATATGTAGTAACGGAGATCTTGGATAAAGTTGATCTAGAAAGATTAGTGTTTTCGGTACACAGCTTGTGAATACGGCACACACCCAAACCATTAAACCAGTGACATATTTATAACAGAAAGTCAATAGAAATGAGACCGTTTAGAGGTGAGGTGAGGTGAAATTGGGTTTAACATCGCGTCCAAGATTATTGCACTTATATAGCGACGTGCATGCACGTGTATGTGTGTGTGTGGCTGCTTGTACTAGTCCGGACTGATGCCGATTTATAGTGCTAGCTCACTGATACCATGCCGCAGTTTAACATGAATACCCCACTCAGACACAGTATACTGACTCCGAGCCGACCAGTCCTTGTTTTAGCCCCTTAATGCCGAGCGCCAGACAGGGTAACAACAAGTACAATCTTTTAACGTCTTTTTGTATGACGCGGCCCGGGATCGAACCCTGGACCTTCCGCTCTCCGGGCGGACGCTCTACCACAAGACCACGGAGGCGGTCGAGACCGTTTAGAAACATCATATATATGAATTGAGTTTGTATAACACGAGTTACGAGTATAATACAGTTACGGTTTCAGAGAAACCTTTATTCAAACGGTTCAGACCTACCGTTACGGGATGATTTCCAAATCATACCCTGAGTGTCATGGATTAGCTAGTAGCTAGAAAGTATACAAATATAACAAAAAGGTCACAGTGTACATGAATGATAAGGAAGAGAATATATGGGTGTCAACTTTCTTCGTGTACGTTCGGCCATTCTCACACGGGTATTAAGTGAACATGATAGGTTATTATAGTTCATATATAATTTACTTATTTAAGCAACAATTGGTAAAGAATTCAGCACGACAAATGTTTCCCTGAACACCCTACCAAACTTTGCCAATGAAAATATTTAAGTATTCAACGAAACTTCTTTGGTACAACCATTGAGTTGAAAAAAGATGCTGTTCTACTAGACATACAATCAGTTATAATACTCTAAAACTCTATTACCACAACGTTGGCATACACGAACATACCATGCTTACTGCTGGTGTGCCCATAACCTGCTGAAGCATCGGGGATACAATATAAAAACAACAATATCAAGAAATATGAAAGATCATTAGCAACAATATTAAATATACTACACAATGTCGTCGCTATAAGCTGAAAGTTGTTGTTGGTTGGTTGTTTAACGCCGCACTCAGCAATATTCCAACTATATGACGGCGGTCTGTAAATTATCGAGTCTGGACCAGACAATCCAGTGATTGATATCATGAGCATCGATCCACGCAATTGAGATCGATGACATGCATCAACCAAGTCAGCGAGCCTGACCACCCGATCCCGTTAGTCGCCTTTTACGACAAGCATTGTCACCTTTTACGGCAAGCATGGGTTGCTGAAGACCTATTCTGCCCCGGAATCTTCACGTGTCCTATAAGCTGAAAGACTGTGGATGTGATGTCAAACTTCAACATATTCAACATTTTCACAAAACATAGAAGGTGTCGGAATGATTGACTGTTAGAAAATTCTATGTTTGTTGTCCAAGTAACTCCCAAGATAAATATAAGTTTATGAGAAAACTCATACTTCAAATGTTGATTTTAAAGTCTCTCTTGATAAATTTGAAAAAACTCCGTAGAGAATACCCTGAAAGTGACAGCATGATTGATGTAGCTCCGTAGTCTGTACTTTGAATAAAATATATAGGTCAACACCAGGGCATTCTCAATCTCTATTAACTGGCGAAACAGATTATTTAAAAAAAATATAGTATATTATACAGGTATATGTTGCATGTTATGCTTTCAGTTTCCGTTTGGACCCGTGAAGATCCGGGGTAGAATAGGTCTTCAGCAACCCTTGCTTACCGTAAAAGGCGACTATGCTTGCCGAAAGAGGCGACTAACGGGATCGGGTGGTCAGGCTCGTTGACTTGGTTGATCCGATTGCGTGGAGCGATGCTCATGTTGTCAATCACTGGATTGACTGGTCCATACTCGATTATTTACAGATCGCCGTCATATAGCTGGGATATTGCTGAGTGCGGCGTTAAACAAACAAACAAACAAAAAAACAAACAGTTTTCGTTTGTGATACAGGTGTACACATTCCTGACGTTTTACACCTACAAGGCAATTAAAACATTAATTTCAAGGAAAATGTTAATGTACAGTGCCTGACAAAGCAAATAGGTCTTCGTGTGCCTAAAACAGAATCTACCCTTCTTTTTCAGGGATCCTAATTACATGTCATGCAACAAGTAAAAGCTTAATGTCGTCATTATTACACGGCCTAACCCTACCCACTGTGGTTGTCGTCATTATAACACAGCATAACCCTACCACCTGTCATCAGTGTTTGGCTTTAAGGTATAATAAGTGGTATCAGCCCTCTGTTCCTGTCTTCAATGTTTGTGTTCGGACGTGTGGTGTATATACCAATCAGTGCTTTTCATTTGGCGTTTTCTCTTCCCTGGGGTAATGATTAAATAAACGATTGGGTTATAAACTTAGATGTGACCATTGATGTGTAGAACGTCCCGCTTCAGTCGGGCAAGATTGAACAGATTAGAGGTGCAATGCAACATCCATGGATGTTTACTGAACACACCTGGGCCCACTTGCACAAAGCGATCTTAGCGCTACGACTATTGTAAGCCTATGTTAAAGCATGGGAGTTACGATCATCTCAGCGCTAAGATCGCTTTGTGCAAGTGGGCCCTGGAGTCTACGTTTTGAACATCATAACTATGTGTCAGGCTTCTGAATGCTTAATTATTTTTTTCTCAGGAGAATGTGTTTCTTATAAAAGTGCTATACAACATTTCAACATTAAACTATGTGGATATTTATACATAAAGCCCAGCGTATGAAGATAAGTGTAAATACGTTTGACTATGTAACAGATGTCAACACCTTTTTTACGCGGTAACATTTAGATACCATCAAATGATAGTAGCTTATACTTGAAATTGAAAGCACTACAAACGGTGTATTTCGTATAATCGATGGTACATAATCACATTTCGAAAACATGGTTAACTCGTTAACAGATTAATATTTGTCGATTTTTATTAATATTCAAGACCTTGATTTTAATTCATTTACTTCACCGCTTTACCGTAATTGCAATGTTCCAACCGTGTATTAATTCCCACGAACAATTTCCCCCAAAGCATGCAGATGAAACCCCCTTTCAACATGATCTTGTTCACCATGTGCATCACGTTTTGTAGTCACAACAACTCTGCACATTCAACCGGCTGTTTCTTTTGGATACAGGTGTAGTCGGTTGTATTTGAGCGTTGGCTCTTCGTCAGCGTTGAAGTATTTATGGCAAAGATATACCCTCGTTCTTTCTTTGTGAACATAAACGTCGGTACGATCCCATGGAAAGATTTTATCATTTCATTGTGTTATTACCTATTTGCTAGTCCATGAAATGAACAAACCAAAATTGTTTTTAATTCAATACCCTCTGATTCAGAATGTATCAGGGGTTGGACACCTCCCCAAACGAACATTTTCCAACAATTCACTACGAATAGAAGGTCAATTTACCACACCCATCAATATATTTATGGATTGAGATTAATTTATTGTATGGATTGCATACACATCTCAGAAATATGATATTCATTTTGCTTAAGAATTGAATGCAAATGGTTTGCTAACTGTTTCTAATAACGAGTGGAGGATAGTGGAAATGACTTAACATGGAGAAAGCATCAAACTAGTGACATATGTGACAGATCGCACTGACTCATAACGTTGTGATCATGCTGACATTATTCTTAACAGTTTCGAAGAACTTAAAAAATACTGAATTAAATTGGAAAGTGAGAGAAGAAATTAGTAGACAATGTTTTTCATAAGAACCTTTCCGTTTAACAAACAGATGTTATTTTAGTACTTGTCAGGAGGAATCCCATTTTCAAAACCTTCTCTTACTCTGTAACAGTAAATGATGTAAACATGGAAACAAAACAATGAACGTGCAACAAAGCATATCCATGGACGTATTAATCAGCTTATTGTTCATATAAATGAGTTGAAATTACTTAAAAACATTGTATATATATTATATACCATGTGGGCACTTCTTCTGTTACTTACACAACAATGCGAATAGCCTCCACAGTCACTACATGGAAGCTGCGCACAAAGATTGTTACATTTCAAGTTTCATTCATTAATAATACAAAAATTCTTGTGTTCGTTGAAATTCCTGCATTCTGATTAGCTGAATTGGTCACATGTTATTGCATTAATTTCCCAATGAATGTAAACAATTAAGCCACGCCCACCGAAGCGGACTACTTTTATTACTACGGAATGTCGGGGAATCCTAATATTACAGTCGAGGGAATTCCCTTTCTGCTCACGTGTATCGCGATGCACAGGGCATTTAGCGACTTTCATGCATATTCATTGTCCATACAACCCCTTTTTGGACTGAAGGCAGAGAAGGAATGAAACAGCAAACGTGCAGGCTCCCTCGGCTTTTTTTGTCACGCTCGCCTCGGTTCCGCAACTTTCATGTCTTCGAGTTTCAGTTCTAACCAGCACTTTTCCAACTGGGTCTTCCCGTTCTCAGTGAACTAATGTTTGAATCTGGCGGTAACTGACCATGTCATTTGAAACAGCCGCCTTCTCCCGGACATATTTATTCCGGCTCGTTACAGTCTGACTGTTGCAGTTCTTCTCGCCTCTTCCCTTGATTGACAGGTCCTATGAACTTTGTTTTAATCCTTCTCCCCGTTGATTGGCTACTGACGTTGTGGGCGTGTCCAGTTATGTGCATTAATTAAACAATCACCTGATTCATGTCACGCCACAGTATGTATTCCTACACCTGGAATGTTTATCAATCTCGTAATTTTTGCCTGCTTTGATATAAACAACTGTTTTGGTTAAACTATTATATGTTTTCGTTGTCGAATTTAATTATAAGCTACGCGGATTCATACAGTTTGCACATCGGTTATTCGATTCATACCTCAATGAACCGAAAACAATACACAGTCAATGCTTATATAACTATATCTACTATCGAGGCTTCCGTGTGTGAATGCACGTCCCCTCGGTTCCATAATGTTTTACACAGGTAGTATAGTTATGCAACTTTGTAGTGTCTATGTAATATGGTATTCTTGGGCACCTCATGTGCACAGGAAAGCTGTTGAGTACACTCTGTCCCGATTAAAAATTTCAATTTGTTTCACAATGACCTTCTATACAGTTATTTATGCATAATTATGTTGTTTACTTGACCTAGACCGCCTTCGTAGTCTAGTGGTAAAGCGTCCGCCCGGAGGGCGGGAGGTCCGGGGTTCGATCCCAGGCCGCGTCATACCAAAAGACGTTAAAAGATTGTACTTGTTGTTACCCTGTCTGGCGCTCGGCATTAAGGGGCTAAAACAAGGACTTGTCGGCTCGGAGTTAGTATACTGTGTCTGAGTGGGGTATTCATGTTAAACTGCGGCATGGTATCTCAATGAGCTAGCACTATAAATCGGCATCAGTCTGGACTAGTACAAGCAGCCACACACACACACACAAGTGCATGCACGTCGCTATATAAGTGCAATAATCTTGGACGCGACGTCCTCACCTCACCTACTTGACCTAATTTCTCATGTCAGTGACTGTTTTCAGTGACAGTGTCCCAAATCCTCGTGTTTCATAAAACTCTTTAATGTTTCGCCCTCGTGATCTAACGTTATAACATTTCAGAGCCCAACCATCATCTAATACAAAACAAATGTCTTATACATGTTTCTAGTACATATTTCCACAAACATCCCTGTTTAGCATGTATAATAAATGTAACAGTAAACGGATCTTCCAGATACCTGTCTTACTGTCGATAATATCAGCAAATAATAGGACTGTTAATAATAACAATATACGATATACAATGAAAATCTTCCCATCTATCACACAATCAGTCGACACTGACACCGCGGTAGACTTAATACAGTTATTTGCGCACTGATCAGATAACCCCTACCGTCAGAGTTGGGTGGTTGTTCAAAGCGAACGCTGACTTTTGCCTCATAAAATGCTTGGCGTCGCCTTTAATCTTGCCTCCCACCATGCATGTAGTAGTAGTAAACGACGATCAGGGTGGCCTGGAAATAAACAAGATTCTTCCTTGTTGCATATCAAGGCACCAGTTCCTCTGTCGAGTTGCCGCTTCTTGAACAGTATGTGTGCCCAGTGTATCCACAATTAATTAGAATGTTTCATATCTACAATATCCACATATCTACATGTGTGTGTGTGTGTGTGTGTGTATGTGTGTGTGTGTGTGTGTGTGTGTGTGTGTGTGTATATATATATTATATACACATATATATACAAACTAGGTATTTGCCAATCAACTGGTTAGGTATTTGATCATAACAAATATTTATTTGATTAATTGCGTCAGTGAGTGAGTGAGTTAATATTTAAAGTTACATCGGTAATATTTCAGCCATACCGTGACGAGAAGTTAAGTTACATTAAATATACATATATTAAGACTTTATAAAAACCTGTCATCGAAGGACAGTATGATAACTAGAATATCACAGATAAACTTTTTTTAAACTAGTTTAGGAATATCTAAAAGCAACAAAACTAAGTGAACAGCACAATATAGAAATGGGCTAGAGATCGCCAGTAACTAAAGGGAGATCCCCATACCAGGGACCATGGTAATTGCGTCAGTGAGGTTTATCAACACATGCATAACGCTAATTCGCGCTTGGTGTGGCAGATGGAAATTGAACATTATGATAGCGTCAGCAGGGTTTAAAGTGGTCATAAGACATAACTATGGCTGCTTTTCAGGCCACAGACAGTGGCATGTGAAGGTCAAACTTAAATATATTTAAGTTACATTGCAGCAATTAAGATTACTTACCATTTACAGTACATTTAATGTGTTCAATAAAACAAAACAAAACGTAGATAGATTTTTTACACACTTATTTTTGTACTATTTAATGATCTGGAATTCTAAGACATTTGGCTTTTTTTATATCATCCTGGTAAGAAATCATACCTATCGCTGAAATCCTCGAGTATTGTTATGGTGCTGTCAAACCTAAAAACATAATCAGGGGGCCCAGATTTGACTTACCTAGTGCCTTGAAGTGAGGTGAGGTGAAATGGGGTTTAACGTCGCGTCCAAGATTATTGCACTTATATAGCGACGTGCATGTACGTGTGTGTGTTTGTGTGGCTGCTCGTACTAGTCCGGACTGATGCCGATTTATAGTGCTAGCTCACTGAGATACCATGCCGCAGTTTAACATGAATACCCCACTCAGACACAGTATACTGACTCCGAGCCGACCAGTCCTTGTTTTAGCCCCTTAATGCCGAGCGCCACACAGGATAACAACAAGTACCATCTTTTAACGTCTTTAGGTATGACGCGGTCGGGGATCGAACCCTGGACCTTCCGCTCTCCGGGCGGACGCTCTACCTCTAGACCACGGAGGCGGTCTAGTGCCTTGAAGTGAGTTTATTCTTAGACATGTTAAAAGCGATTGACCCCACACGATATAGCTGAGAACTGTCTCTCGGACGGTAATGGGTGACGATGTCTTTGATAGTGTTACCGGGGAATCTTGAAGTCAGGTACTATCATTTGCTCCAACGTTCTAACTTTGAATAGTCTCAACAGGACCATGATTTTGGTTACATATAGACTCCCTGTATTTAGTTGTTAATCTGTATCATTCATTCTACTGCGGTTCAAATTTATCAGACCGCCTCCGTGGCCTAGTGGTAGAGCGTCCGCCCGGAGAGCGGAAGGTGCGGGGTTCGATCCTCGGCTGCGTCATACAAAGGACGTTAAAAGATGGTACTTGTTGTTACCCTGCCTGGTGCTCGGCATTAAGGGGCTAAAACAAGGACTGTTCGGCTCGGAGTCAGGATACTGTGTCTGAGTGGGGTATTCATGTTAAACTGCGGTATGGTATCTCAGTGAGCTAGCACTATAAATGGGCATCAGTCCGGACTAGTACAAGCAGCCACACACACACACACAAGTGCATGCACGTCACCTCACCCCACCTCACCTATTTCTAGCCTGGTTGTAAATTGATCAGGATACTGCATCTTTGCTCTTTCTAAATATATTTAAGCACCTACATCTTACCTAAACCAATATTTAATTCACACTCAATATCAAACCATTTCTGATCTGTTATACTTTGACCAACTTTCCTTCTCATACGCATACCAGCATTACACAATGCTTGAACCAAACAAGGCCACTTCCATTTATCTGTGAAGTAGTTCTTGTACAGTATCAGAGTAAAAAGCATCATGAAATTGATCGTTCTTATCATTATCCCACACAAACTTGAAACAATCACCTGCATTACAGGTGTGTTTCCTAACTGTCTAGGAAATGTGACATCCGCTGATTGTAGGCTGACGGTGACAGGTAGATGTGATGATTCAGTTGTTTTGAACATGTAACACAATCAATGGCACAAGTCTCATTATGACCTACGTACGTAAAATCACCAACAGCCGAGTCAGAGACATATCTCCCAAATATTTGCCGAAGTTATTAACAGTGGTGTGTCATGAATATCACCTGATACGAAAATGATCAAGAAAATAGTCCATAAGGTGGTCCATAAGGCCCTGAATGTGTTCAATAATGTCATCTTCATCATAGCCCGGAGGGGGCATGGGTGGCCCAGTCGTCTAAGGCGCCGCAATTCGCTGTGCAGGGTTGCGTCCGTTGTGCACGCCAGAAACCTATGATTGTGGGTTCGAATCCCGGTTCGCCCCGATTATGTTTCTAGGTTTATCAGCACCATACCCGTTCTCGTGGGTTTTTTCACCGAAGTGGTAAACGTCTGAGACCTGCATCACTTCGGGCTTTCCTCCCACATTAAGCTGGCACGCCGTGATAACTGGAATACTGTTAAAAAAGGCATTAAACCCAACTCACTCACTCACTTGGTGTCAGTGGGGAATATTTAGGACCCTTTCCACGAGCTCTGTTCAATACATCAATAACCGTTCCCTTAACACACTTTATGTTTAACCACTACTACTCTCAGATATTCCATAGATTATGATACTGTTTCTACTATGTCTCTCCTGTTGCTCTATTCTGTTTTTAAGTTGACTGATATATTCCCAGAAATCTTCCATCTCTTCAACTTTTTGTGATAAATCTTCCACAACTTACTTCACCACATCTCCTCCTTCTTCACATTCAGCTCCTCCTTCTTCACATGCAGCTCCTCCTTCTTCACATTCAGCTCCTCCTTCTTCACATACAGCTCCTCCTTCTTCACATGCAGCTCCTCCTTCTTCACATTCAGCTCCTCCTTCTTCACATGCAGCTCCTCCTTCTTCACATGCAGCTCCTCCTTCTTCACATGCAGCTCCTCCTTCTTCACATGCAGCTCCTCCTTTTTCACATGCAGCTCCTCCTCCTTCTTCACATGCAGCTCCTCCTTCTTCACATACAGCTCCTCCTTCTTAACATTCAGCTCCTCCTTCACATGCAGCTCCTCCTTCACATGCAGCTCCTTCTTCACATGCAGCTCCTCCTTCACATGCAGCTCCTCCTTCACATGCAGCTCCTCCTCCTTCTTAACATTCAGCTCCTCCTTCTTCACATTCAGTTCCTCCTTCTTCACATTCAGCTCCTCCTTCTTCACATTCAGCTCCTCCTTCTTCACATGCAGCTCCCTCCTCCTTCACATTCAGCTCCTCCTTCACATGCAGCTCCTCCTTCTTCACATGCAGCTCCTCCTTCTTCACATGCAGGTCCTCCTTCTTCACATTCAGCTCCTCCTTCTTCACATGCAGCTCCTCCTTCTTCACATGCAGCTCCTCCTTCTTCACATTCAGCTCCTCCTTCTTCACATGCAGCTCCTCCTTCTTCACATGCAGCTCCTCCTTCTTCACATTCAGCTCCTCCTTCTTCACATGCAGCTCCTCCTCCTTCACATTCAGCTCCTTCTTCACATTCAGCTCCTCCTTCACATTCAGCTCCTCCTTCTTCACATGCAGCTCCTCCTTCTTCACATTCAGCTCCTCCTTCTTCACATGCAGCTCCTCCTTCTTCACATTCAGCTCCTCCTTCACATGCAGCTCCTCCTTCTTCACATTCAGCTCCTCCTTCTTCACATTCAGCTCCTCCTTCTTCACATGCAGCTCCTCCTTCTTCACATGCAGGTCCTCCTTCTTCACATTCAGCTCCTCCTTCTTCACATGCAGCTCCTCCTTCTTCACATTCAGCTCCTCCTTCACATGCAGCTCCTCCTTCTTCACATGCAGCTCCTCCTTCTTCACATTCAGCTCCTCCTTCACATGCAGGTCCTCCTTCTTCACATTCAGCTCCTCCTTCTTCACATGCAGCTCCTCCTTCTTCACATGCAGGTCCTCCTTCTTCACATTCAGCTCCTCCTTCTTCACATGCAGCTCCTCCTTCTTCACATTCAGCTCCTCCTTCACATGCAGCTCCTCCTTCTTCACATTCAGCTCCTCCTTCTTCACATGCAGCTCCTCCTTCTTCACATTCAGCTCCTTCTTCACATGCAGCTCCTCCTTCTTCACATTCAGCTCCTCCTTCTTCACATGCAGCTCCTCCTTCTTCACATTCAGCTCCGCCTTGTTCACATGCAGCTCCTCCTTCTTCACATTCAGCTTCTGTCTCAATTCAACTATATCATCTTTGATTGTTGAATGATAGCTGCCTTTAATTCCGCCATGTCATCGCCAGGGACCAGGGTTTTTATGTCATTTTATGTGTGGTTTCGACCCAGCACTACTGTTCACATTTCGATCCGTGAACAACGTTCCAAACAGTACGAATTGTTCACAATACTCACTTTCTACACACACTGAGGCTTTCTCAGACAATGTTGATAAGGTGTAATTCCAACCATTTGCCTGAAATCTGAAACGTACACAGAAAACAGTAGCGTTGTACACAACGACAACCTGTACGCCTTGTCTGTACTCTGTCCAGTGTATCTCGGGTGAGTAGGGAGAACTTTTTCAATCTGTCTCGGGATTGTATATAAAGCGGCCTATTTTTTTTTTTTTTTTTTTTTTAAAGCGGCCTATCTGACCACGCCAGGCATCAATGCTGATTCACATTGCTTCTTATATATTGAATATCTCAGTGAGTGAGTGAGTGAACTCAACTGAGGATTTTATGAGTATCTATCTTAACCTATGAAAGCTAATCCAGTCCAATGTCATTTAAATAATTGAGGCACTTGCAGTGACCAGGTAACAACGTTAACCAATCGATGATATAGTATATTAAATACTGGGAACTTCATTGTAAACTGGTAAATGCATCTGTGATTGTCTAATTCGCAGTGGGGCGGTCGGGTAGCCTTGTGGTTAAAGCGTTCGCTCGTCACACCGAAAACCCGGGTGCGATTCCCGACATGCATGGGTACAATGTGTGAAGCCCATTTCCGGTGTCCCCCTCCGTGATATTGCTGGAATATTGCTTAAAGTGGCGTAAAATCAAACTCACTCACTCACTCTAATTCGCAATGGCCGTAGTCCTGTATATCAAGGTTTTAAGTATCCAGTGAAACGTAGACGAGATGCCCGCATACATTGGAAATGCTGTTTGCTGAATGTCCAACCACCGCCAACACTTCAAATGATCTTATCACGACCTAGAACCTTGCGCATAACCATCGTCAGGCAGACAGATTTGAGGATTTCACGACCGCTTCAGCCGTAGGCTTTGTCGCAGACGGGTTTTAGATAAAGGAATAATAGTTGGGATGAATAAAAAATCGTTAGGCCCCAAAAAACTATAAATGGGGTGAGTAAAGTTAGGAAATGAAAATAGTAAAGAGGTTGTAGTGTCGGTGGCTGGTGGCCGGCTGGCAGTGGCCTTGATTGGGGGCTGCATGAAAGAGTCTTACTGTTAGTATGGATAGGGAGCAATTGTACGCGCGGACGTCGGAGAAGACAGTCCGCGCATAGAATTTCGATCCCGATCCGAATCTTGAAAGTGTAGATTTATAGTTAGAATTTCGGGCTGTTGATTTGTTTGGGATTGGTCTAAAGTCTGTTTTTTAGGATGGCAGTTTTAAGGAAGTTGGCTATTTGTGTGTATATGGCTGTTGTATTAGTTTTTTGTAGTGGTAGAGTGATATTGTTTTTGTATTGTGGGGGAGGGATTGAATCTGTCATTTAGCTCTTCTGTTATGTTGCAATGTGTGCAGTTTTGATGTCTGTTTTGACTGTGCAGTTTTGCATTTAAGTTAAATTGGCCGGTATGAATTTTATTTATTACTTTATCTGAAAGTATCGACTTGGTAAAATTGCGGCATTTTATGACAGGTTCATTGAAAAGGGTCTTTATCCATATGGATTTACAATTCTGAATATTAATTTGGAAATTGTGACTTTTTATAGCTAATTTTTGGCCTGTAGCTTGGGCTGTGTTTTTGTTTTTAACACCTGTTTGTAGTTCATGTAAGTTGATAACTTTGTTGAATGGTAGGTGGGTGTGGGGCGAAGAAGAACCGGGATCGGTTCCACACAAGCGTACAATGTGAGAAGCCCATGTCCCCCGCCATGATATTGCTGGAATATTGTTAAAAGCGGCGTAAAACCATACTCTTTCACTCACTCTGATCAGGGCTCCGGAAATGTTTTAGATTAACTGAGTATTTCCTCACCTGTTATCATTCACATTGGGTCTAGTGTTTATTCCGGTATTAAGTATATTTTTACTGTGCTGAAAATAAAGCTATCCAATATGGAATACTGTAAGGGACATTCTCACGATCTCGCAATCTCGCTTTTTGGAAATGAGCTAAATATGTCCAAACACGAGAATGCGAGATCGCGAGACCGCGAGATTTGACTTTAACATTTCCCATCTGTGACTCACCAACATCAAGCTGACACGCCGTGTTATAACTGGAAAACTGTTCAAAGCGACGATAATTGTTTTTAATTTGAAGTTTACACCATATACGGCATTTCCATTGGACGAGAGATCGGTCACATGACCACGAAATTGACATTCATAAGTGTATGAACGATACAATTTGACGTTCAAACGTTTTTCACGAGACCGTGTTCTTGAAAAGACGTAAATACTCACGACTACATCCACATTCCTTAGGGTACACGTGGGAATTCCCTAACACGAATACTTACAGAAGGGCTCTTTCTGATAATTTTATACCAATTAATCTTGAACGCAGTAACTCTAGTCTACATTGAGAAACGTGAAGAAATGCACATCCAAACTATCGTAGATCGACTCGATCCTTGTCTGGGCTGACAGTGACAGTCAACAGCAATGTATGAATTTACCTTAGTGACTATTTAACACATCATTAATCACCTTTCAATGATCGGGCAGTTGATCAATGATGACTTAAACATGTAACCGCTACAGGTTCATTAACAATTTCCGAAATCTCTCCTGGCACGTTAATCGTGCCGGCCATGTTGACGTCATGTACTTGATGTAAATGCATAACGACTTACTGAGGAAGTTCTTAACAGACCTTTCTCATGATCATTTCTTACAATTAGAATACATGTGATTTTTCAGATGTTTCTGAAGAGAAGGTTATGCATACATCGCTCATGTCATATCTCTCTTTGAGGACCGCCTCCGTGGTCTAGTGGTAGAGCGTCCGCCCGGAGAGCGGAAGGTCCGGGCTGACTTAGTGTCAAATGGGACAGAAAATTCAATGATATAAATGATTCAATAGATTTATCCAAAAGGACAAGATAATGTTTGTTTCCATGATCACTGACATTGGAGGATCACTCATGTTTCATCACTTATATTAAAATTATACTGAATAATGGCAGTAGGTGACATCATTACTTGTGTATACATGTGCTGTGCTTGTACTTTCATTAGTACTTATCATTATTTGCATTCTTGTTGCAAATCTAATGCTATTTATGATAAATTGATCACAGTGCATATGTTAATAAGAACGATTTTTATGTGGAGTGCGTGAATAAATGACAGGAAGCTAGTGTCAGCGTGTTGTAAAATCCAGTTCGTCATGGTCCAGTTTTCTAAGGGCCTCCCTACTCATCTCTGTTCAGCGGTCTGCCTCATGGCTTTAGTTCTGTGACTTTGTGTTCATTTGGCTATCGCTAGAGAATTTGTTATCTGTTACTTCATTCTCTAGCAGTTCCGCCGCCTCCGTGGCCTTGTGGTAGAGCGTCCGCCAGGAGAGCGGAAGGTCCGGGGTTCGATCCCGGCCGCGTCATACCAAAAGACATTTACTTGTTGTTACCCTGTCTGGCGCTCGGCATTAAGGGGCTAAAACAAGGACTGGCCGACTCGGAGTCAGTATACTGTGTCTGAGTGGTGTATTCATGTTAAACTGGGGCATGGTATCTCAGTGAGCTAGCACTATAAATGGGCATCCCTCAGTCCGGACAAGTACAAGCGCGCGCGTACGCACGCACGCACGCACGCACGCACGCACGCACGCACGCACGCACACACACACACACACACACACACACACACGTGCATGCACGTCGCTATATAAGTGCAATAATCTTGGACGCAACGTTAAACCCCATTTCACCTCACCTCACCTCACCTTTCTCTTTGAGGAACTATTTTCTCCCGCGATACAGCTGGTTGTTGTATGGCTGTCAGTGTAAACATGACACACATACTAAATAAAAGTGTGCATAGATCTAGGCCTTCATCCTTGAGGTAAGGAATTGTGATAAAAAACTATGAGAATTAATTTTCACCTTGTGTGAGTTCATTGAATTATGTGAGGGCCAAACATTGTATGAACGTCGTCTCAACTCACACAAAATGAAAGTCAATTCTTAATTAAACTCACTCACTTTCTCAGTGGACCACCTACATCCAACACTCATGGTAGCATCAGCGGTCCACGCCCTTTTCGGAACCCATCCAAACCAATTACCAGGTACCAAGAAATAAACTACTCTCATTGGAACACGATACTGCTGAATGTTATTCAGCTAATAAAGAGGTCTTGTCGCACCACAGTCTTTAAAACAAATAAAAAAAATAGTTTTGAAAAAACAAAACAAACCGTAATCTGTATTGTATCATCTAAATGTTTGAAAATATGTACTATATATTTAGATTTTCAATTCGAAATGACATTGCATAATACTTAGGAATAACGTCAACCATTTTGGTTATGATGAAAGATGAGCGTCCGGCGATATTCAAATTATTTAAAATTCAATGGATTTGGTGGTGGTGATTTAACTGGACGGTGTCCAAACATGAGAATAATCACAAAAACACAACCTTGCAGTTTGTCATTTTATATTCTTATTTAAAACAGCAACACTCATGGGTGAGGTCGGTCTCTCATTTGCCGTTCTGCAGTCACAGTTCTCTGAGGTGAAATAAAAAGAAGTTTATTACTGATAAATTGTTAAATTGTGTAGCCAAATCCATAAGCATGATAATACTCACAACAACTTCTCAACGGATCAGTGAACATTTAAATTGTCATTTAGGCGCTGGAAGGTGAGAATTCATATTCTCATTTCATCCGACCAGGTACCCAGTCTCTGACGGATAAACAGCATACAGTTTTGACGATGCTAATGACATCAGTGAAAATAATAACAGTGACAACAACAACTACTACTACTACTACTACCACTACCACTACCACTACTACTACCACTACTACTACAACTACTACTACTACTACTACTACTACTACTACTACTACTACTACTACTACTACTTCAAATGAAAGTAATACACACAAAGACAATGAGGAGTTGCGTCCCTTGGGCATGCCAGAAACCTATGATCGTTGCTTCGAATCCCGGTTCGGCCCGATTACCTTGTTATGTTTATCAGCACCATACCTGTGCTCTTGCTCGTTTCACCAAGACCTGCATCACCTCGAGATCAAACTGACATGCCGTGAAATAATTTGGAATACTTCTTGTAGCGTTGTTAAACCCAGCTCACTCACCCACTCACACTCCCAGGAATATGTTATACCCGACGATTTCACATGGAATTGTATATTATCAGTAATAATAATAAACATTAAAATTACACAGGCTCTGATGCTTGTGATACAAAACATTTGCGACAAGGCCTTATTAAGAAAATTGTAAACTATATGAGAATTCTATACTTTTAGATCTTCAAAAAAATACAATTAGTTTAACGCCGCTTTGAACAGTATTTAAGACTCATACAGCGTGTCAGCTTTACCACTTTTGTGAAATCCACGTGCACGAGCACAGGTATGGTGCTGTCATGCCTAGAAACATAATCGGGCCATAACCGGGATTCGATTTGCAGCAAAGAATGCAAATAATGCTAGATTATGAAAGTACTGTTATTTGTCTAACCCACAATTCCCCAGAGATCCGCGCTATCTCGCCATTCACGCTAACTACACTCTGTGTCTGGTGGACATAGGGACGGATGCCCCAATGTCAGCCGCGGACAAACAAGCCATCGTGGACAAGCACAACACATACAGAAGTAATGTGTCACCTTCTGCCACCAACATGGTCAAACTAGTGAGTAGTTAGAACACTGTTTGTAAGGCTGTGTAAGGTCGTCAGGCTGCCAGATATAGCAAAACTATTGCTGATTGCAGCCTTAAAATCGTTCACCCACACAATGCAGAACCCCATATATGGTTATTATTCTCCTCTTAAACATTCTAAAATTATTATCATCATTATTTACAGATTAAAGACAAATGCAGTAAATAGGGTTTGGGTGATCCTGGCATAGTCAGGCTGGTAATGCTCATCATCAGCCCAGACAGCGAATGGGACTTCTCCAATGGAAGCGTTGCCTTGTTCAACCCACCTAGAACTTTTCGGAGAATGTAAAGACTCCCCAACACTGCAGCCTTCTGCATTACCTAGATTGTCAGAAGGGCTTATTCCTGGTAGCAAAAGCGTGTACTCTCCCAATGTCAGACAACAGATTGAGAGGTACCAAATCTAAGGCACCGAATACAATGGGGGGTCGGAAAACTTGGTACATGGGATGCAAGCCTGACATTTCCAAAACGAGGTCTGCATATTTGTCTTTATTAACTGAATCTTGTCAATCACTTAGTGTCAAATGGGACAGAAAAGTCAATGATATAAATGATTCATTAGATTTTTTCAAAAAGGACAAGATCATGTTTGTTTCCATGATCATTGTCATTAGAGTATCACTCATGTTTCATCACTTATATATTAGCCACATAAAGAAACTGTGCACGGAGAAAATATAGATGTAAGGGCACACCGTCCATATATATGAAATATAGGTTTGAACATAGCAATTATTGGAGACATTCAAACGCTCATGCACGTGCCATGCGATATGACGTCATTGATGGGGGCCTATGGACGTGCAATGTGTTACTGCACGTGCATCCTGTGCAGCTGTACACAGCATGTGCAACTCAAAATTCGCTGTCACTTTGGAAAGCATGATCTGTGGTCATTCAAAAATTCAAAACTTCTCAGGCGCAGACACAAGCATATCACAAGCAATCATGCCAAGATTGACAGCTGCACAGCGTCATGAAGCCATTGGACTGATCCGAGCGGGAATGAGGCAACAGGTGGCAACACATTTCCAATGCCATCGTAACACGATATCGGCATTGGTGAGGCGTTATCAGAACACAAATGACTTTGCCGACTACCCACGTTCAGGACGTCCCCGAGTAACGACGCCAAGACAGGACAGATGGATTCGAGTTACACATCTCCGACACAGGTTCCAAACGGCAGTAACGACGTCCCAGACAATTCCTGGACTGCGCCGTATCCATCCCAACATTGTCAGGAATCGTTTTCGTCAGTACGGGATTCGACCACGACGCCCTGCCATACGTCCCATCCTGAAACACCGTCATCGAGTCAACCGTCTAAGATGGTGTCGAAATCATGTTCGCCAGCCTCGAATATGTTGGAGAAATGTTGTCTTTACAGATGAATCGAGGTTCAACATTTCCCACAGTGACGGGCGCCAACGTGTCTACCGGCGTTTGGGAGAACGTTATGCACGCAACTGTATTGTTTTGGAATCGTTTTGGAGGTGGCTATGTGATGATTTGGGTTGGGATAACAGCACGGCACCGAACCCCTTTGGTGGTTGTTCAGGGCAATCTCACCGGTGTTGGCTACAGAGATCAGATTCTGAGGCCTGTGGTCATTCTTTTCCTGTAACGTCATGGCCCGGGATTGACATTTCAACAGGACAACGCTCGTCCTCACACGGCTAGGGTCGCAATTGATTTCCTTCACCATAACAATGTCATGTTACTGCCATGGCCTGCAATTTCTCCAGATCTCTCCCCAATAGAGCATGTGTGGGATGAAATGGAGCGCCGTCTGCGTCGTCTTCCACATCCTCCAGATAACGTCCGTGACTTGGCACAGGATTTGAGGAGGATATGGCAGGCCATTCCCCAGGCCTTCCATGCCCATTTGGTGGACTCCATGCGTCGCCGATGCACTGCTGTGATTCACGCACAGGGTGGTCATACCCATTATTGACTTTGTGACTTTGTCGTTTGACCCCCTACTCCATTTTGATCTTCTGACGTCATCGTAACAGATGTTGTTCAGGTCCCGTTGACATTTTCTTATAGTCCGATCATTCAGCTGCTACAGCTTCTGCATCATTTTGTTCTTGCTGTGTTGTATTTCAATCCAGAATATATTTTCTCCGTGCACAGTTTCTTTATGTGGCTAGTATATTATATACTGAATAATGGCAGTAGGTGACATCATTACTTGTGTATACATGTGTTGTACTTGTACTTTCATTAGTACTTATCATTATTTGCATTCTTTGCTGCAAATCTAATGCTATTTATGATAAAGTGGTCACAGTGCATATGTTAATAAGAACGATTTTTATGATGATTTGGTGAATAAATTGCAGGAAGCTAGGGTCAACGTGTTGTAAAATCCAGTTCGTCATGGTCCAGTATTCTTAGGGCCTCCCTACTCATCTCTGTTCAGCGGTCTGCCTCATGGCTTCAACTCTGTGGCTTTGTGTTCATTTGGCTATCGCTAGAGAATTTGTTATCTGTTACTTCATTCTCTAGCAGTTTCATCTTATACTCTTATCATGTGTTTATTTAATATATGTTATCTCCTATGTGTGTACAAGCATATACACATATGTTTTAGTAACTTTGTTTTTCACGCTGTAGCAGGATTATCTAGTACTATGTACAATGTAGATATTTCCACCCCTTACAAACACAGTCATCTCCAAATTAACATTCCATCCAACCCTTACTACTCCCACATCCCAGCCTTACCCGACCATCGTTTTCTCATTAACCGCACCAAGCCTACGAACCATGACCACTGGAATGTTGCTTACAGCGGCGTTAAACAACAAACAAACATATGCAAAAACGATAGATATCTATTTTTCATATTGAAAACGGTCAGATGGTATATGTAAAATTAATTATTCAATTTAAATGACGTATTACAAACACATAAGCTTGTATGTGCATGGTTAATTATTTCCCAGACACTTACCTATTTCCTCTTGAAGGTACGTCCGACAGACGCGCCTCTCAATGTTCCCGAGGCTGCAAAGATAAAACAAACTCTGAAACACTTACCTGAAAATACCCATATGATATAAATTATTTTCTACTTGTGTTACATTAAGTGTTTTCAATCAAACACCATTGCCAAACTAGACAATGAAAATATGGTGTCTACAGTTCGAATCTGCGGAGAGTATCTCGATTTCCACAATACCAATTTGCTCTGAGTGCCAAAGTGTCCACAATACCAATGTGCTCTGAGTGCCAAAGTGTCCATTATACCGATGTAACAGGTGTGCCAAGGTATCGATAAAGCCCATGCGCCTAGAGTATAAATCATACCAATGTGTTTCAATGTACATACAGTCCAAATGTATAAAGAGTACCAAATATGCTTGTTTGCTTGTTTGTTGTTTAACGCCGCACTCAGCAATATTCCAGCTATATGCCGGCGGTCTGTAACTAAACGAGTCTGGACCAGACAATCCAGTGCTTGACATCATGAACATCGATCCACGCAATGGGGATCAAACAAGTCAGCAAGCCTGACAACCCGATCCCGTTAGTCGTCTCTTTCGAGATTCTCTTTCGGAGTTCTACCCCGGACCTTCAAGGGTCTGCCCTCAATCTGCATGCACCTGGTCAAAACATACCCCGAGCTTTTGTGAAGCTACAGGACCAATGCGCGCATTGTAAATTGTATATTTAATTTTGCCTCGTGTCCTATACTCCGGCGTTGCAGTCTGGTTTCCGCTGCAGAATCGTCCTTGCTGACACTCGGTGGCGCTTGGGAAGCAGGGTTGCTGAAACGCATCACTCTGCCAAAGCTCATACCTTACACTCAGGTTCTGCGAAAGCGAATGCAAGATGATATATATTTCTTCTTCATCTGATGAAAAGGTTTCACTGTTAGTTACCTATTCCATGCCGAACGTCTTGGTTATTTGGGTTGGAATTGCTCAAAATGCTATTCTTTCCAAACCTCCTCGTCCTCCTGTATCCAAGGCCACGGACGGTGTCTGGGGAGAGGTGAAAAATGTGGAAGTTAAAAAGGTTGTTAGCTTTTAGCTTTTATTGTCATTACTACTACTATTATTATAGTAATCATTTTGTGGAATGTGCAAGGAGATAGCAATCTGGCAATCTGGTGGGTCTACAGCAAATTGTAAAGACCCAGGTTGCTGTCTCATTGCACAAGACACTGAACCCTTGTAGAGGCAACGTCAGAGACTGGTCACGTTGTCTTTCTAATATGTCACAAGACGAAATTGCAGCTGTTTTGAAGGAACGAGGTGTCACTGTTGTGAAACGTTTTACCAGGAAATAAGATTCAGTCGAATCTTTTACAGACCGCCGTCATATAGCTTGAATATTGCTGAGTACGACGTTAAACAACAACAAATAAACACATCTTATTAAATATCTGAAGACAAAATGTCTGAAGGCCTACATTTGTATTGAAAGTCAAAGTGGGGATGGGATCAGACAACTATACTTCACATGTATAGATTACTAATACGCTCTAAATTTGACTATGGCTCCACTTACCTGTTTACTTTTGGAATGACAGCTCTTATTTCTCAAATTTAATTAAATCTCAAATCTATTAAAGCCAGATACTGAAAAAAATGGAGTGGAGGTAAATGTACCAAATCCTCTCTGTTGTTTAAAATGACAAAAGTTCGACATGGTGCCGAGTCTTTTACGGTCGAACTCATGGGAGCACTGAATGCACAGATGACATCAGATGTGCCAACTGCAAAGGTGAACATTTGATGCACACCTTACAAATAAAGAGAAAAAAAAAAACAGTTGAAGAGAAGGAAGAAGGCACTTCAGCATCTGGAGGTGCCCTCTTATTCCGCAACCAATGTAATGTTTCAAAATCCATTTGAACCACTTGTTGATCCTCCATGAGCATATCTATTAATTAAATCTTATTCAATGTCACAGGAACTTTTGTTGTTCAGTATATGTGTTGATGATTATCACAAGGTCCAATTAAATAACCTCATTCAGAAATCCAAGATGGCATCACAGTCGCCATTTTGTAATTTACAGGTCTTAAATATCTATTTGTCCTTTTGTAAACCCTTGTGAATATGATTTTAATAGAAAGCATATACACTGGCTAAAGAATGAAACGCATAACAAAATAATCAGTGTTTCCTTACATCTTTAATGAAATAGGATTACACAATAATGAGTCAGTATGTTTTACGCCGCTTTTAGCAATATTCCAGCAATATCATGGCGGGGGACACCAGAAATTGGCTTCACACATTGTACCTATGTCGGGAATCGAACCCGGGTCTTCGACGTGACGGGATTACACAATAAATAATGAAGATACAACAACCAAATTTTACACAGGATGAGGCACATGTTTCTTAGACTACAAACAGACTTTTAATGTTCTTAGGAACGTCTGTGTCTGTGATTGCACTGTGCCAAAGTCAGTACCGGGTGTTACCACCACTAGCATCGATCACTAGCATGGACTGTAAGAGTCGTCGAATCTGGCGTTGTGGAATCTTTCTCAACTCATCTTTCAATGCATGGTGCAGCTGTTGAAGTGTCTGTGGTTGAGGCTGTCGGCGTCGTACACTTCTGTCTAGCAGATCCCACATATGTTCAATGGGGTTTAGATCAGGCGATGTGGAGGGCCATGGCAGCACGGTAACATTGTTGTAGGCAAGATAATCCATGGTAACACGTGCAATATGCGATCTTGCGTTGTCTTGCTGGAAAACCTCTCTTCTGACGTAAGTGGCAGGAATAAGGTGACGTTGAAGGATTTCATCACAGTAGCGTACAACAGTTAAATTTCCCTGCACGTGCACCAGATCTGTCCTACCTTTCACGGATATGCCTGCCCACATCATGACACTTCCACTGCCGTAACGGTCGACTTCATGAATACAGTGACGAGTGTAGCGTTCATTTCTCTGTCTGTAGACACGCATCCTACCATCATGGCGATACAGCATGAACCGCGACTCATCACTGAACAAGGTCCTTCTCTAGTGCCATAGGGTCCATGGTCGAACATTTCTTCTCCATTGCAGACGTGCATGACGATGATGTTGCCGCAGAACGGGCGCTGTATATGGTCGCATTGGCCGTATCCCATGCTGTCTTAGACGATGTCTGATGGTTTGCGCTGAGACTCTACGAAGACCAGGAAGTTAGCTGTAAGCTGTGTATGCTGCACTGATTATCCGGTTGCGAAGATGCAACACCCGGATGAAGTGGTCCTGCACCGCAGTTGTGACCCTGGGTCTTCCACTTCTCAGTCGATCTCTTGTAGAGTTGTGGAGTCTGTAGCGCTGCCACAGACGAGAAATGGTACTCTACCTCACGTGAAAGTGGCTGGCTACTGATGTCTGACTTTCTCCAGCTTCCAGACGTCCACTGGATCTGTTTCTACAGTCTCCATTCAGTCTTGGCATCATAAGAGTCACATATACAGAACATCGGAGAGTGATTCGCAGCAGGACAGCCAAATTTTTAAACCCATCAGTATAAAGGTTACGTAGCCGTATTTGCACGTGCAGCATGCTTACAGCTTTTTCTCCATGCAATTTCTCCCAGTTTGATTTCAAGAAGCTGTATTTTGGCGATAAGCCACCAAATATTGTGTTCGGGTGCAATAAATTAGTGTAAGGTCAATATTCACGGTTAGCAACGACATTTATATTGAATTCAAGCCTTCATCTTTAATAACAGTCAAGTTTGAAAAACAGATTTCAGCTATGCGTTTCTTTTTTTTGGCCAGTATAATGTAGGATACCTTTTCAATACCTTTTCTATAGCAGTTTAGCCGAGAAGATCCTGGGTAGAATAGGTCTTCAGCAACCCATGCTTGCCGTTAAAAGCGACAATGCTTGTCGTAAGAGGCGACTAATGGGATCGAGTGACGTGGTTGATGCATGTCATCGTATGCAAATTGCATAGATCGATGTTCATGATGTCAGTCACTGGATTGTCTGGTCCAAAGTCGAATCTTTGCAGACCGCCGTCATATAGTTTGAATATTGCTGAGCACGACGTTAAACAACAACAAATAAACAAATCTTGTTAAATACCTGAAGACATAATGTCTGAAGGGCCAAGATTTGTATTGAAAGTGAAAGTGGGGAGGGGATCAAACAACTCTCCTTCACTTATATAGATCTTATATAGACTATGGTTCCATTGTGTATGCTGGAGTTTGCAAGAGTAATTTAACAAAAAACTAGACTATGTCTTGGTGCCTTTCGAACATCTCCTGTTGACAGCCTCTATATGAAGGCGAATGAACCGTCTTTAAAACAACGCCGTACTATTACTATATTACGTTCCAATCCCTCCAATCCAGCGTATGACTCCGTCTGTTACTCCTTTCTATGAAGAACTGTTTCAGAAGAAACAAAAGCTGGTTCCTCCAATTAGAATTCGGATCAAATTCCCATTTATGGCTGCAAGTCAACATCTGGATATATTCTCTCAATACCAGCATTTGTCTTCTCCTGATGGGCGGTTGGTGAGGCCAGAAGTTGACATTTCACAGACACGTTTTATAAAAGATAAATGCAAAAGAAGTAGGCCAGCCCAGAAGACAATAACAATAACAAAGTACATGAAATTAAACCCACTTCTGGTTACACCTACCTGGGTTGTCAGTCCAGATTTGATTAGGTCATTATGTGACGATGTCGCATTTGCCATAGCAGATAAACACATGACTATTGATTGAAAGGCGAGCATCCTGCGTTTTGTATCCCTTGTGATGCTTGACTATATTGAATTTTCCATTACAGGGGATAAATATTTCAGTGTAAAAACAGTCAAGGAACGTTTAAGCAATGTTACAACTCTCTCTTTTTAAAAGAAATAGAACTAATTCACAAATTTTGAAGTGAAAGTTATATATTTTATTACTCGGTAGTGTATGAGTGAGTGAGTATAGTTTTACGCTGCTTTTAGGAATATACCAGCAATATCACGGCGGGGGTCACCAGAAATTGGCTTCACACATTGTACCCATTTCGGGAATCGAACCCGGGTCTTCGCCGTGACGAGCGACCGCTTGAACCATCAGGCTACCCGGCCGCCCATCCTTCGGCATCGGTAGTGTATGATTCTTAACTGAGTGTTAGTGTATGTGCCCTCGACGGGGTTTGAAGTAGAGTTATATTATTGTCTCTCTGTGAGGGAACGTAAGACCAACTCATTCAAAGTAAATTATATCTATCGCTATTTTAACTGCAGAATATTTGTTCAGTATTATTCTCTGGCTAAACTTGTTATTAAACTGTCCTTCGTTGGCAGATATATAACTATTGTATAACTTGTTCATGTCACATTGTGGCTGAAATACTCACTCACTCACTCAGATTACGATGATAACAATCAGTCAAGTCACCGGGTACGATGTGAATTAATATAAAGAATCTCTTCTGAAGTTTCGTCCTTTGTAGGATTCCGACTACATCATAAGCATGTGTTTATGAACCACTATCAATTAGTGGTGATACTAGGTTTTCGCGAAAATGTGAGCCCACCCACCGGTACTACGCCACCGGTACCACCCGTCACAAACACATGCAAAGGCAAGGCAAGTGTTCATCTGAACAAACATACGTGTCCTTTTCATTTCATACATACATTACTCTATTTGCTCTCTCTCTTTAGATGTGCCATGAATAATTAGACAATTTAACAATCAATACACAAGTAATTGTTTAACACTTACTAGGACCTCCACCGTGGACCACAACAACGCTAAGCAGCAGCAGCAGCACAGTAAGCTTCATCATTGTATTGCACCACATCGTCGACTATATGACAGATAACTTATGTCCTTTTATAGCACACCCGTTTAGATATGAACATGTGACATGTGCTTGTTATTGGTGCATTTGCATTATTCAGCAATAAAACAAACAGCTCAGAAAATTGATATTTTATCATGTTTGAAACATAAGCCTTATGATGATGAAACAAGAATGCACCTGTAATGACATTTGATATGATACAACACTAACACAAAGGCAATTAAATCACTCAATAAACTCACATGTCACATAAACTGTACAATATGTGTATTGAGTTTCTGCTGAATTGCATATAGAACGGAAAATATCGTTTAAACAGATTTTGCATTTGTACTGGTTCGAATTAAAAAAATTTATTTATATCTTTTAATATATTTTAATATCTAAACTAGGATTTTTTAAAGCCTCAACATTGATTGTAAATAACCTGCACGTTTTCCTTTTTAATGAGTTTGCTAATCAAATATTAAAAAATGGATGGTGGCATGTCACACATCAATTCTAAATGGTCTGAAATGGTACAGTGAACGCATCTCAGTAACATGATGTCAGTCGATGTAGAGATACCTTGCAAATAGGATCGCCTACACAGGAGAATGTTATTTGTTTGTTGTTTAACACCGCACTCAGAAATATTTAAGCTGTATGACGGAGATCTGTAAATAATCCATTCTGAGTGAGACAATCCAGTGATCGACTTAAAGAGCATCGATCTACGCAATTGCATCATCCAAGTCAGCAAACCTGACCACCCGACCCTGTAAATCGCACCTTACGACAAGCATGGTTTGCTAAAGAATAATTCTCGAAATCACGGGACAAATTCCATTCAACAAAATAGCTGAACACATTATTAGTAAACGTTGAAAGATTGAAAGAGACAGTTGGATTTATCAGCACTGCATGTCAGCTTGGTGTGGGAAAGTGACGTAGTGACCTATTCCACTGTGGTGAAACCCACGACTTCGAGTATACTGCTGTCAAACCTGGAAACATTCGAACCCACGATCATAGATTTCTGTCGTGCCCTAGGGACGTAACTCCGCCCGGCGAATTGAGGTGCCTTAGGCGACCGGGCCACCCCTGTCCCCATCCACAAATTTTGTCCATATGGGAAACAAACACGCTTCAATATTGATACCTCCTACATGCGTTTGTTTACTTGTTGCTAATGGGATATTTGTACTTTTCAATCTAGGATAAATGCATTAGATATGCGCCATCGAGCAATAACCACTCACAATTACATGGCGTATCAAGTCCGAGGTGACGCAGAATGTTGGTTTTTAGAACCGGAAATGTAACCCAGCCCTATGCCGTGACGCGCAACTGCAATAACCACAAGACTATCCCACCGCCCTGTAAAAATGACATTTCCTTTAAAATGTGTATAAAATGAATACTAGCCTCCATCAAACATCACAATAGGCTTGTAAACAATCATATTAAAAATGTTGTAAGTGTATAGTGTGTATTATCAAATTGCCACCGTATCATATATATCTTGAATACATAAATTGCTCTTTTCTATCATAGAAATGTATCATATGTAAATGTGTCAATTTTATGATAAAGTACATAAAATGTACGCCAAACATGATAGTAAAATAAGCAATACAATGACAATGCATGTAACAGAAGCATACACGTAATTCGCGAAATAATTGAAATATTATCAAATGAGAGTTAATGTTTGGATTAACGCCGGTTTGCACAGCATTTCCGTTATATCACTGAGTGTCATGATCAGTTTGATGTTGAAGAAAAGCCCCAAGTGATGTAGAAATATGAGGGCGAACCGGGATTCGAACCAAAAGTTGTAGGTTGATGGCACGCCAAAGGTACGCAACTCTGATCAGTGAATTGCGGCGCCTTAGACGACTTGGCCACCCGTGCCCCCTTTGTAAGGTGGTTCCCATAGCAACACTGTCAACATCAAATATTAACACTTGAAATCTTATAGTTATCGGGCAGAAACGCTCTTTATCACTGTTATATGGCAGTGTAGTTTGTTGCTTAACAATTTTTGTGGCTGTGTTGCATTGTTTCCGTTGAAATTCGGTAGATTTTGCATTGTGTTTGGACAGTGATTAGTCGTCAGAAATGTGTTACTATTCAATATAAGCAGTTGTCAGGAAGTTATTTTATTTAGATGCTATTGTTGTGTGTAAACTTTCGGTACGGTATTCAGCGGGCGGTGATTGTGTGTTATAGAAACATGTGGAATGTTCTAGTACCGCTAGACTGGAGAGGGTACTGTGTATAAATTTCCAGTTGCTAGTTATGATGTTTATATAGTGGGACAAGAGAGTGGTCACGCATCCCTCGCACTTTTCATTATATCAAGGGCGGTCAGGTAGCCTAGTGGTTAAAGCGTTCGCTCTTCACGCCGAAGACCCGGGTTCGATTCCCGACATGGGTACAATGTGTGAAGCCCATTTCTGGTGTCCCCCGCCGTGATATTGCTGGAATATTGCTAAAAGCGGCGTAAAACCATACTCACTCACTCACTCATTACATCAAGACCATCTTTCTTGTGTGGATCATTCATCACCCCTGATTCCCTGCCAAGGCCCGTCTCGGAAGCTTGACTGCTGGCGCCGCAGGGTGAATATATATTAATGTCACTGACTTTTGCTATCGCCACTGTATTTTTGTATTTGATCATGTCCACTGCCATCATATTATGTATTGCCACTGAATATTGTACAACCACTCTATTGTGTACTGCCATTGTAATTACCGTGCAGTAATTTGTATTGATTTGTAAATATATTTAATTTTTGTAAAACAATTATTGATTGTATACCATTTGTTGGTCGTTTGTTGATTCCACACTAAATTCTTAAACGTACACATTTCTGGGTTAACATATTGTTTCAATTTGGGAACAGAAATTGTGGGAGCTCATCTTGGAGATGAATTTAATATATCACAAATTAGTAATATTTCATTGTCTTATATTTTGTGAAGCCAACAATCACTATGGTGTTATGTGCAGAGGAGTTTGTTAGCCAATCTCCTGCGGAACTATGTCTATGCTAAAAAATTCTGAACTGGTCGAATTGGCTAAACATTACAAACTTGACATGAAAACGAAGTTTCGGCTTCAAAGCAGATTAGACTTGTTCCCCACTTTCCTGAACTTAATATTGTAACTCTGATACACGTAACAATATTTAAAATTTATGTTGCAGACAATTCCTTTCCAAGAAGCTCTGAATGAGATACCCACTCACGTGGAAAAACGTCTGTCAAATTTACTTTTTGATGATGTGAATCCCTGCAATTACAAAGTCCACACAAAAATGTTTGGCGGTAAACCTTTCATTGCAGGTGATGCACCTAGGAGGTTTGTCCTCGTCTGTTTTATGCAGACGTTCGTAAGTAAACCGAGTGTGGCCAATAGGACATCGTTGCAAAACGACCCCACCATGTTTTGACTGACAACTCAAGTAGGTATGACCGATTGTTGGTTTAACTTCATGAGGTTTATGGATTCCTGCCTGGGTGTCCCACCTTTTTTGCCTGAGTAAATCCCGAGTATGATTGATAAGTCTTGATGGCTGATTTGAAATCACGGTGTGGGATAAGGAATGGAGATAGCGGCTTGTCAAGAGTTGCTCTAGCTGTAGCATCGACTTGTGAGTTACCTCATGTGCCTGCATGACTTGGCAACTAGTAAGAGATGATGTCGCATTGGCCAGTAGAAAGATCATTGTAAAGTCGTGTAAGTGAATGAAGTACACACGACACTAGCATGATATAGTACGAACACATAAACGCGCTTACTACAAATACGACACAAGTTTAGTTCGATGTCCTTGGGATGTCACTACCAATCATACCGATGTTGGTATATATATAGACTAGCTTGGTGCATGTTTAGTATGAGATACTTACGTTTGTTTGTTTGTTTCTAGTTTAACACTGCACTCAGAAATATGCCAGCTACATGATGGTGGTCTGTAGATAATCGAGTCTGGAACAGACAATCTAGTGACTGACATCATAAACATCGACCCACGCAATTGAGATACGATGATATTTATCATCCCAAACTGGCTATCACAGGAGATATTGCTAGGGTAAGATCAAGCGATATCAAGCCTCGGAGTTTTTCCACTTTGATCCACTTGTGCTGATATATTTGATATCAAAAGACATTTGGGTGAGATTCTCTATATATCAACCAAGTCAGTGAGCCTGTCCAACTGATGCCGATAGTCGAGGTTACTTCGACACGATATCTTAAGATTATCATGATGTCAACACGACTAAGGGACCGACTATTTGATATTCTGGGATGGGGCTAGCATAAGATTTTGTATCGAGAATAGACATTTTAAAAGATACAGCTACAAAACCTGACAGTCTATGATAAGAGCTGGACTATTTGAAAAAACCCACTGGGAGCGATGTAATATTTTTGGCAGGCAATATGTTTCTTTTCATCAGTTTGAGGAATAATTATTTTTTTAAGAAGTTACGGCGACAATATCTTTTTTCTGATAGCTCCCTGATAGTCGGTTGTAGCATGGCGTCGCCGACGCCATGCACAAATTTTTGTGACATTTGTAACCTCTCTGCAGATACCATCGATATCTTTTGAGATGTAACACATGTTATATATGGGATAACTCTTTCTTTGTTAAGGGACAGCTTCTCGTACTTTTGGAGATTGCAAATGGATTCAGTTGGATGGGTGCTTTGTCACATGCTTATCTGACCACTGATCGAATGGATGTGTTCTTGTCAGACGAGGTATTGTCAGTATCTATGTGTTGTCGTTTTTAACCAGAGTGTTAGGAAGCCTTGTCAAGAGGAACATGATTCAGCACACCTTTTCTCCACCCACCATCGAGTGTCAACCAGGACAGTCTGATACTACAGTGGATCTCCATGCTGCAGAGACCGAGGATAAGAAAAACTGAAGCTATCTAGACACTATCACTTGGAGACAAACAGAATTCGGAGGTCATCATCTCAAGATCAGACCATGAG